ATGTAATTTCATATAATTTAAGAATTAAAATTCGTGTAAGTTTGAAAAATGCCTAGAATGCCCTTAAGGAGTGTTAAAACACAAATTGTTTAAGTGAGGGTAGTTTGGACTTTAGGAAAATGAAATGAGGCTCCCACTCTAAATAAGGGACCGAAATATTTCGGTCCCCCATTCGTTCCTAGCGCCCGAACCGAGTGGAGAAAGGGGGAGACGCGGACGGACAAGGCGGCGGGATAGCTTCGGGCGGCGGCTCCGGCGACCTTTTCCGGCGAGGAATCTTGGGGAAATTGAAGAGGAAGAAAAGGGAAGTCAAAGGTAAGCATTGGAATATATTTTTCCCCTCTCTTTCTCAAGATTTTTAAAAAGGAAAATTTTAGGGTTTTTTTTTTCAAAAATGATTTTCTTTCAAAATACCTTCACAAAGATGTTTCCTAATGATTTTTGAAAGATAACTATGGAATTTGATTTAAGTTTTATAAGAATAAATTGTGTTTTGTAAATTAGGGTTTTGTAAAAATGAGAGTTTTCTTTGAGATAAGCTTAGAGAAAAGTAATGTGATGTTTTTAAAACTCTTATGTGAGTTTTTTTTATAAAAATATGGATTTTTGAAATCTAGGGTTTATCCGATTTTGTTTTCCTATCAAAATGCCTTTGTAGAAAAGTTTCTATTTGAGATTGGGAACTTTTTTTGGGAAGACGGATTTCTTTTTGGGAGATATTTTGCATGCCCTAATAGTTGGGGTTTTCCAAAAGCTAGAGTTATGATGAAATCCTAATTCTAGTGAAGATAAAGTGGATTTAGCATGGTTTAAGTGGGGGTTTTTATAGAAAAACCAATGCTTGATGTGTTGATTAGCTACATGCTTTGCCTAGGATTTTTCTTTTACGGTTTGAGGGAGGAAACTTATGCTTACACATTATGTTTTGTCATTTGTAGTGTTTGATTTCATAAGAGGAAAAGGGGCGTAAGGATTTTTGGAAGTTCGCATTGTGGTGCACGGATTAAGGTAGGTGGATTATAAATTTTAGACAAATTTTCTTTCATTGCAAATTATATTGAAATGACAAATTCCTTTATGCTCAATATGAAACTCTTATGGCTTATGTTCCCTTATAAGTTTATGGACACCTGAAGCAAATGCAAAGGTTCTCTTTATGCAAATGTACAATTCATGAATGAATCTCATGCTCATTTCTTTACTCTTATTATACATATCTTTCCTCTTTACATGCAAAAGCACACATAAGCATATCAAGCATGCATATCTCTAAGGAAACATACATTTGGTTAGTTTATGAATGTTTTACATAAAGCATCTCTTATGGTTATATAAGTAATAAGTGTATGTGCATGTTGACGCGGGAGTATCACATGGTAAAGGAGGCTCTTATGAGCCATGGTAAAGGAGGCTCTTATGAGCCATGGTAAAGGATGGTTCCTATGAACCAATGGTAAACGAAATGGCCAAATTTTATGTACCTTATCAGTACAAGTGATACTCCCGAGACGGGTGTTATATTTACATGTTAAACTATTATGAACATTTCATATTCATATTATGCATTTGAGACTATCATGTGAGGCAAAATGTTAAAGAAAAAATAGAAATGTTATGAAGGAAAAAGCACTTGAAACTTGAGGTAAGGGTATGCATTTCCTCTAAGCAAAAGTTTCTTTATATTGATGTTTCTTTTGTTAAAATATCCAAGCATGATTTAGTTTTCTTTTATTAGCTTTAAATTCATTTGAATTGCATTCACACCTATTGAGTTTATGATTCACCCTCGTTGTGGGAATACTTTTCAGGAGGATCTAGGAAAGGATAGATGACAGACCAACCACCGCGCACTTACCGTCGTAGGGAGACGACGGGCGGCAGGTTCTTTTGAGTTTTGATATTTTATATAGAAGGTTTAGAAATGATAAGTAAGAAAAAAATGATTTTTGGATTCCCTTTGAAATGAGGAAATGAAAAGTTTTTTTTTATTGGAAGATTCTTTAGTGGCTTTTTCAGTTTGTTTGGTACTTATTTGGAGATATGTTAATTGTTTATTGTGAAGTTTCTTTTATCTTCATCCTGTCCGACCTCTGTTCCCTCCTCGCACTTGCGAGCTAACTAGGCCGGGTCGTGACATCAAATAGCAAAAACACGAGTAAATAAGGGCACTATATGCTTTTTACAAAAAAAAAAGAATAGAATGCTACAGCTTTTTAAAATATATATATTTAAAAAACTATATTCATATTTCCAAGGAAGAAAAACCTATAGCATTCGTTTATTACTCCAGCAAGTTTTGTCATTTCTCCCAAGAAAAAGCTACAACGCAATAGCAAGCCATTCTTCTTCTTCGGCGACCCCTTCTTATGGTGTTTTTCCGACAAACTCATGAGCTGGCTCGTGAGCCCACATTTATTGTCACAAGCCAAGGTCGAGCATACCATTTGATCTTGACTCGAGCTCACAATTTGGTCAAATAGTCGAGCTCAAGTTAGGCATGACTCGAGCTCGGTCTGACTCGTATACACCCCTAGAATCAACACACTTCATCTCCGCCCATCTAGCTCTTTTAGTTTTCAAAATAATATTGAAAAGCTTTGTAAGCTAAGAAATTCCTTCATCTCTTAAGCATTTTCACACCTCTATTGAAATATCATCAGTTCCAACCACTTTTGCATGCTTCATTTTCTTTATGGTCAGTCTTTAACTTCGGATTTACTAATACAATGATAAAAATAAAAATCACTATCATCATTTAGGATGATAAGGTTACTAAAGTCAATCGCATTCTTATAATCTTCCTTGAAAAGCTTATCGAAATATCCCATTCACCTTTGTTAAAAATTTTCTTCTAATAAAAATACTTTTTGACATTCATTCTTAATGCACTTCACCTGAATTAAATCCTTATTTTTTCCATCTCTTTCTTTGGCTACCTTATACATACAAAACTATACATAAAATAATCAAAATACTTGTATAAAACTTTATATTTCATTTCAATCTTTTTAATATATAAGTATATATAAATGCATAAATATGATAGCAATCATAAAACTAGTTTATTAATTCAATCATTAAAACCTAAGTTCTGTTAATTTTATTGTTTATATATTGTTACTATAGTAGCAACAAATGTAGTGTAGCAATTCACTATTTTTCATTACACAACGGTTGACAATGACTTCAATGGACAAAATGGTTTCGAATTTAAAAGGAAAATAAACTATTCTTTATAAAATATTACTCATATTAATTTAAATTAGGCCGAAATTGAGAGCTGGAGCAGTTGGTTGAAGGAAAGATGAAGAAAAAGGGAAGGACGGAAAGAGATGCAAAGATCTAGGGCTTGAGATGTAGAATCCTATTCTGGGAATTCTCACCTGCAAATCAAGGTTGATTTTGAGTTCTTAAGCTTAAAAGTTTCACTGAGAAATCCTTTTTTAGGTAAAAATATAATATTTAGATTATTTGATATAATTTTGAGATTATTTGAAATAAATTCAAGTTATTTAGTATTAATTAATTTGAATTAAAAATTACTGTTATTAGGTTGTTTATGAAAAATCAAAACTTCAAGGAGAAAGATAAGAAAATTTGTCTCAAGGATTCTATAATTGCAGTGAGATACTCAATCTTTAATATAGGTGCAAAAATTCATAGGCCTAATGATTGTCAATTTATAAGATTACATGAGACCGTAATCTGCATATGAATACAAATTTCTTCATATTAAGTACTTTAATGATATTCAATGTTATCAAAAATTCTACTGCATTATACCAATTCTCATATTAAAAATAATACATATTGTGCAAATCTTACAATTTACCAACATATCAAAAAAATCATATGTTATTTCAAATATTACCTATGGATGCCTCAATGACAAGTAGATACATAAAAATCAAGGTTTAAAAAGGCAAAATCGGGAATTGAGGTGTTTTGTCTTAGCGAGGCAAAGCGTAAACCTCAAGGTGAATTGAGACGTAAGCCTCAAAACAAAAAAATAGCCTTATAGGTCTCATGAAACCCATTAAAAGTTGCCAAATTATTTTGGTAGGACGGGTCTTACTGCTCCTCATTGGATATAGCCCATTGGTGGGTCTTACAACTTAGCCTTATACGCTAAAATGCCCATTAGTTTTGTTTGGATTTGGGAAAGTCTTATGACCTCCCTTAGGAAGTAGCCTACTAGATTTTGTTTTGTTGGTAGATCGGACATCACTTGTTTGATAGCTTGACATCAGACAATAGTTTTCAATTGTTTACTAGCTCGACACTTGCTAGCCAACAGCTGTTGTGTGATACTTATAGATGTCAATGGCACAAAATAGAGCGCACAATGGCGCACGGTGCGGCGCAGACGTTTAAAATATCATACCCATGTGCGCCATTGGAACTTTATCGTAATCTTTTTCTAAATCAAAAAATAGCATATGTAGATTCTCCATATTTTATCTATACTTCTCCATCAAACCTCTCAATAAATGTATAGCTTCCATCATAAACCTACTGGCATGAACCCAAATTGTTTTCAGAAACATTAGTATCACATTGTAACCTATGTTAAATAACTCTCTCTCATACTTTTAAATTATGAAACGTTAACTTAATTTCTCTATAATTGCTTTCTACCCATTCATGCAAATAAAGAAAATCAGGACGGCACAGATTCATACTAAGGAAGGGGATCATGATCACTAATTCATATTAAGAAAATCAATATAAGTTGTTTGAAAAGGAATCTTTGGATTTAAAATATAACATATTCAAGGTAGAAAGATTATTATTTATACTATAGATATTTTCATGTTTCTGTGTGAACCAGTTTCCTTATTTTCTTCTTAGATCAATCTATATATTGAATTGTATGAAAATCTTTGAAGGAATAAGAAAGATCATTCATAGTCTCCGTAATCAGCATATCATTGATGTTGTGATGCAACTATATGCCGATAAGCCAAAGTGAAAATTGAAGGTTGATATGACAAGTTTACCTCATAATTAGAAATAAGAACTTCAAGTATCCACTCGGGCCATTCTGCCATAGAAATAAGAGTGCTTCTGTTTTCTGGAAGACTGCAAACCAAAAACAGAAGTTCCTGAAATAATATCAAAGGAAATGTTCAGAAAAAGAACAAAACCAACGGCTTAACAGCATAATAGCATTTACCAACGAATCAACATAACCTGCCCCAAGGAATTAGCAAAAATGCAATATTCTTAATATCACTAGTCACTTTCTCCCACGTAACATTAGCATCCTAATGCACCAACAAAATCTTAAGATCTAAAATCTTATTCTCAAAAATATTTTTATTAATATTCTTTAAATGCCTCGATCTAATCCTAGAAAATTGTTTTACTTTATTTTTTATTTTCTGCCCTTTTATATTAGAGTCCAAAACTAACAAATCGATGTTGGGTACATAAATTCTTCACAATCCTATATTAAAATAATTGCTCATAAACAAATGCAACAAAGAACGCAGCCACAGCAAAGTCCTACGTATGGCATGAACAGTCGTATTCTTTTTGCATCGCCATTCCTTGTTATAATTAGAAATCAATATCAATGCAACATGAGATCGCAGTCAGTACCAAAATATATATTGAAAGTGTAATCATCATCAACATTTTAAATTAAACAATATAATCCAGATACCTCCTGGCCAAATGTATAAGTAGGTGAAAATAGCAATAATAACAAATATAAACGAGGAAGAGACTTTAAAATCCGGAAATATTTTATTATGGTCAAAACCAAGTTCCCAACAATTAATCAGCAAAGTGTTTGCTTAATAAATTTCACATCTTGGTGAACTATCAACATGCAGAATCCACATAATAACTGATGCAGTAAAACGCTTTTTCTTGTCTTCTTGTTTTACCTGTATAGTTTCAATTTGAAATGCCCTGGATGCACGTGGAAGTGCGCGGAGTAGAACCCCTAGAAGCTGAACCTGCTTGAGACGGTGACCACAATCATATATGTTGAGTCCATCATCAGATGAAGTATTGACCTGACCAGATGCCACAAGATTATATGACCTTGAAAATTTTCTAGCACAAGGTCTAGATAAATTAACGCAGCAAAATGAGAATTTATTTTCAGTATCAAAACATCATAAATTTGCAAAATTTAGCTTTCCAAATGTCAAGTATCAAAATCATTTCACAATGAGAATATCTAAAAGATGTAGAAAAGTAGAAAAAAACTATTTTGATTTTATTACTTGATTCTATGCTGTAAGTTTGCTAGTATTTATACACTTCTCCAAAAAACTTATAAAGTTTTAAAAAAAATAATCAAATCTATATACAAAAAAGAAAAGGAAAAAAAACATCCACAAGGGGCCGGCAACTACAATAGGAAAAGGAGGCATATGGATTGTAATCTAAAGGCTATAAAAGTGTCAATACAACAGTTAGAACCCTTAATCGATGTGCTCAAGAATTCCTATCAAGATTAGCTGATTTGTAGATCCCACAATCCTTCGACACTCTCAAACTAACTTGTATAAAAAAAATTTAAAAAAAATAAAAAAATTAAAAAAAATTGTATAAATCTACCATTCCAGATTTACTTACAATATTTTTAAATATGGGATTGTAGAGTCATTGGTAAGAATATGTACAAATTGATTTTCTATTAGCACATATGTAATGTGAATCATCTCACTTTCTAGTTTCTCTTTAATAGAATGTCTATCCACCTCCACATGCTCTGTACAATGATTATAGGCAATGTTCTTGGCAAATTAATTATCAAATTATACTTTATTGGTCATTCCCATTCGATTTTTAAATATTTCAAAATGTTTTTAATTCATAGAAGCTCGCGGATTCTTTAGACAATAGCTTTAAGTTAAATTTTAACTATTAGATCTTGAAACAACATTTTATTTCTTGCTCGTCCATATAATGAGATTTCCTCCCGAAAATGTATAGTATTCACGTATGGATCATCTATCCAATGGTGATCCAGAATAATCTACATTAGTATACCCTTCAATCTACTAAGTTTCCTACTTGGTACCAAAACTTGATTTAAGGTATCTAAGAATATTTCAAGCATTTTGATGGCAAGACTTTTTAGATTAGTGCATGAACATACTCATGAGACTCAATATAAAACCCATGTATGGCCTCGTGTTAGATAGATAAATAGCTTTTCAAACTAATTTTTGATACTATCTGAAGTTCACTTCTTTTTTCTTTTTCATCTGCATCCAATTTTTAACCTAGTTCAACTAGGATTTCTTATGATTTACAATCAGCAATTTTCTTAGCAAATTTGTGTCATATTTTATTGGAGAGAAATATTCTTATTTTTTATTGAGCAATTTCTATTCCCAAAATGAATAAAATTTGCCCAACTCTTTGATATAAAATTTTTCAATAAATATTTTTTATTGAGCAACTCCTCTCTATTATCATCACAAGTGACAATTATACTGTAAAAATATAAAATGAGAATTAAGATTTTACAATCAATTAACTATTTTATGAAAAGGGAATGATCTCCTTAGCTTTATTTAAATCCAGCTTCATTCAAAGATTTTATAAATCTGACAAGTGATACTCTCGGAGATTTTTTAGAGCCATACAAAGTTTTTTTTAATTTGCACGCATTGTTCTTTGCAAAAGAATTATCAAATCCAAGTGACGGGTCCATATACTTCTTCTTCAGCATCCCCATGTAGGAAAGCACTCTTTCATGGGATGTAGTATAAATTTTGGCAACCCATTTCACTTTATATTGTTCCAAACTTCCATATGCTCTATGTTTCATTCGAAAATTTTATTTGCATCCTATCATTTTCTTTTCTTTTAGTTCAATGATCTTCCGAGTGTGATTTTTTTACAACATTTATCTTTTCTTATTTAATTCTTATTCTCAAGCTCCTCAAATAGAGTTTGTGATATTATAATTAAATAAGAGCTGATCTTTGTAAAGAAAGCATTATGAGTAGGAAAAAAGTTTTGAAATTATGTGTACTAGGAGATAGGATATAGAGAAGAATGTGTAGTGCTTAGTTGACCATTGTTATTTAATAAAAATTTGAAATCTGAGCTTCCTGGAGATTTTGGTTTGGGTTATTCCTTCTTGTATAGAGTTGAAGGGGGTACAATGTCTCAATTTTTTTAACAGTGTTGTAGGAATATCAAGATAAAAGATAAACGTTTTAGCAAACTTATCTCCCAATTCAGAGTTCTCCCCTGAAAATGAGTTTGATTGAAAAAATTTTGCTTATCAACAAATGTGAAGTGAGGAATTTTTTGGTAGTAGAATGATAACACTTATAATATTTTTTATGTGGAGGAATACACAATAAAAATAAATTTTAAGGCATAGGATCAAGTTTACCCTATGTTCTTTTAGAAGTAGATATTGGCAATGCACGGGAATTTTTGTGAGAAAATTATCTATGGGAAAGAATTTCTTCAAATAATTTATAAAAATTTTTAAGACAATCACTCTTGAGAATATTATATTGATTAGGCATGTGGTAGTTAGTATTACTCTCTAGTATCTTTTTGGCACTTAGTTCTAGAAGGAAAAGTCCTGATGACTTTCAAAATATATCAATCTTTCCGTTCTACAACTCTATTTTGTTAGGAGTGTTATAACATAAGTATTGATAGATGATACCTTCTTTTTGGAAGAAAAAAGATAATGTGTGATTAAAATAACTATGAGCAAAAAAGGGGAGAATACTTTAATGTTAATATTTAATTATTTTTGCATCTTGGCAAAAAAGGGGAGAATAATGCTAACATCATATTTTTGTTTAATAAAATATACCCATGTCATCCAAGTGCAATCATCAACAAAGGTGATAAATGCTACTGCTCTAGAAATATTGAGAATTTTAGGTCTCTCAGTAAACAATTAAAAAGGTAGAGGATCTAGAATCAATTTCAGAAAAAATAATAATGTTTGACAATTTCACAAATCTCAATAAATTTTTTTTGTATTTACATTCATAAAAAAGGAAACATACATTATGGAGTTTTGAAAGAGGAATGTCCTAGCCTATAATGATATTCTAAACTGACTTTTGTATTCAGGATGGAAATCAAGAAATATGACAAGTGATTTCATCTTTTGTATTCAGGAGGAATTAAGTTAATGTGTCATACTTTAAAATTATGGGAGTGAGTTATGGAGTATAGGTTGCGGCGTGATACTAATGTTTCTCAAAATTAATTTGGATTCATGTCGGGTAGGTCTACTATGGAAGTCATACATTTATTGAGAGGTTTGATGGAGAAATATAGAGAGAATAAGGAGGATCTACATATGATATTTATTGATTTGGATAAAGCATATGATAAAGTTCCAAGAGAAGTGCTATGGAGAGTTCTTCAAAAGAAAGGAATTAATAATGCTTATACTCAAATTATTAAAGATATGTAGGCAGGAGCTATTACTTGTGTTCAAACACAAGGTGGTTTGACCAAGTATTTTCCTATTTTGGTTGGATTACATCAAGGATCGGCCTTAAGCCCATATCTTTTTGCTTTAGTCATGGATGTTCTTACTAGACATTTGCAAGAGGATGTACCTTGGTGTATGCTTTTTGTTGATGATATTTTTCTTGTTGATAAGACTAGAGAGGGAGTTGAAGGAAAACTTGAATTATGGAGGTCAACCATAGAGTCTAAAGATTTTCGCTTGAGTAGATTTAAAACTGAATATATGGAGTGTAATTTTAGTAACAATAGACCTAGTGACGGAATTGTGAATTTGTGTGGTCAAATCATTAATAAGAGTATACATTTTAGATATCTTGGATCTATTGTTCAGAGTGATGGTGAAATAGATGAGGGTATTATCAGCATAATTCAAGTTGGATGGTTAAAGTGGAGGAATGCATCGGGATTGTTGTGAGATAGAAAAGTCTCCCTCAAATTTAAGGGAAAATTCTATAAGATGGTGGTGAGACCGGCAATGCTTTATGGCGCCAAATGTTGGCCATTAAAAGAGAAGCATAGTACTAAGTTAAGTGTTGCAGAGATGAGGATGCTTAGGTGGATGAGTGGCTTTACCCTTAGAGATAGGATACGAAATGAGCATATACATGAAAAGGCCATTAAAAGAGAAGCATAGTAATAAGCTAAAAAGACTTGGTTAGAAAATATTAGAGATGATCTTTCTTTATTAGACTTAAATGAGAATTTGACTTTTAACATAACACAATGGAGAAAAAGGATTCATGTAGCCGATCCCACGTAGTGTGATAAAGGCTTGATGTTGTTGTTGTTGTTGTTGAATAGTATTTATTATTTAAATAAATTATAATAATTAGTGCTGATGTACTAAATATTTATTTCATCTTGGAACTGATTACTAATATTACTATAAAGTAAATCTAAGTTTGTGATTCACAATTAAATCATTAAATTTATGATTTACTCATTAATTATGCTTAATTATATTAACTAAGGAAACTTAGCTTATTTTGTTAATTTTAAATAGGTCCTAAACTTTTATTTTTCATTGAAATTTCTATTGAATATTTGGAGCTTATTGATATATTTAAGAATTTATTTGATTATATAAATAATTATTATTAATAAAGAATTTGTATTATAATTAATGAATTCATATTTAATTCATAGTCTATTGGATTTACTAGATTTTTTAGATGAAATTTTATATGTTAAACGATCTACATTGGATTATAAATAATGATTTTATGATTTTCTAAACATTATTTTTTTATTATTTAGCTTTTAAAACAAATAGTTGCTTATAGCCATTGGATTTACTAGATTTGTAAAATGAAATTTTATATGCAAAACGACCTACTTTGGATTATAAATAAATATTTTAGGATTTTCCAAAGCATTAATTTTTTATTGTGTAGCTTCAATTAAAACAAATAGTTGCTTATAGCTATTATTTGGCTATTTTGGGGGATGGTTTTAGACTATATTGGATCCTAAACAACTTTAAATATATTACTATATTTCTATTCTAATATTTTAATGATCTCAAGCATTTTTCATATCAAAATAAGTGAAATTTTGAGCTACAAGGTTTTATCATATACAAGAAACAATTCGGAGACCCTTAATGATACAACTAAGTTACTTTTAGGATATTCTGATGGTTAACGGGGGGAATAAACATGACACGCTCAATGCACACCATATATTTTGGAAGACATTTGTTGACCCTCATATATGGTCTACAAACTGATCCTATCAATAAGTCAACAATGGAAAAAGACATGTTATTTCACTAATAATTGACTCGATATGATTTATTCTCATGAAAGGAATGCTCATTTGTCATCTATTTGGCCAAATAGATCCACCTTGATGCATCCACAACTACCCACCCACTCACTCACTCTTTACTGGGCACATCAAATGATAGGCAATCACCTCTCATTAACTCTATTTTTTTTTATATGATTATCTTTTATTCTCTCAAAACTTCACCCTCTACCTCATAATTCTTCACTAAAGCCAAACATGGTACAAGTTGCAACCTCATTATCTCAATTGCATCTCATACACTTCTTTCTTGATATATGGAGGAAATTATATTATAGTAAATTTTATCATTTTTTGTGCAAGGAATGTCCTAAACCGCGCCCATGCACCTTTCTTAGTGTGGCGGGTGCAAAGAATCCTCATCCTAATGTTGTGAGCACTACCCATATACATCATTTTTAAAGCAATGGGAAGTTAATTACGGTAGCGATGTATCATAGACCACTCGTGCACATTTTTATTGGCATAATGGGAAGGCCCAGCACGTTCGATACTAATGAGGACATCCGGCCGTGGAAAGTTTATCAGAGGAAGGACCGGAAATCTATGGCTAGGATCGGATTGTTTTATTTCTGAACAATTATATGAATTTGATTTATTATATGTAATTTTTCGTTTTTAAGGCACTTGAGGGAGTAGGTTTATGTGACTCCATGGGGGCACTTTTATCATTTAATGTTTTATTGTATTTTGTTTATTTATGGGCCTTACCTCCCCTTTGGGAGGTATGATGATTATTATGAATGAAAATTTCTGTACTTTGTGCCTAGATGTACTTGAGAGCCTTGAGAGTTCTTGTGATAGCTTATATGAAGTCCCTAGATGAGGGAAAAGCAAGACCCTTCAACCGCAAGAAGCGTCCGGGCTCACGGTTTATCTCCGACTCCACCCCCATTGAGCTTGCCGCCACCGTAATCTCCTCCACAGCCTCATTATCTCAATTGCATTTCATACACTTCTTTCTTGATATATGGAGCAAATTATATTATAAAAAATTTTATAATTTTTTTCTGCAAGGAATGTCCTAAACCGTGCCCATGCACCTTTCTTAGAGTTGCTGGTGCAAAGAATCCTCATCCTAATGTTGTCAGCACTACCCATATACATCATTTTTAAAGCAATGGGAAGTTAATTACGGCAGCGATGTATCATAGACCACTCATGCACATTTTTATTGGCATAATGGGAAGGCCCAGCACGTTCGATATTGATGAGGACATCCGGCCGTGGAAGTTTATCAGAGGAAGGACCGGAGATCTATGGCTATGATCGGATTACTTTATTTCTGAGCAATTATATGAATTTGATTTATTATATGTAATTTTTTGTTTTTAGGGCACTTGAGGGAGTAGGTTTATGTGACTCCATGGGGGCACTTTTATCATTTAATGTTTTATTGTATTTTGTTTATTTATAGGCCTTACCTCCCCTTTGGGAGGTATGATGATTATTATGAATGAAAATTTCTGCACTTTGTGCCTATGTGTGCTTGAGAGCCTTGAGAGTTCTTGTGAGAGCTTATGTGAAGTCCATAGATAAGGGAAAAGCAAGACCCTTCAACCGCACGAAGCGTCCGGGCTCACGGTTTATCTCCGACTCCACCCCCATTGAGCTTGCCACCACCGTTATCTCCTCCAAACAGCCTCTTCCCCCCTCCCCCCTCCTTCATAGCCACCGACCACCTCCTTATTCTCATGGACGAAACCATCATGAACCCCCTTCCCTTTCCCCCCAAAATTTCAAATTGATACTCTAACATTTTCCTAGATTAGCCTACCATTAATTTCGGAAAAAAATCTTAAATTAAAATTTGAAATCTCCTAAAACCTTGAAATCATTTCCCGAATTATAGGGTTATGTTTGAAAAGATATCTAAATCAATCAATTTAAATATTAATTGAAGATCCCAATTAATTCCTCTTCCAAAATTAGCCTAGTGTTAATTTTGGAAAATCTGAAATACAAATTTGAAATCTACTAAAGTCTTGAAATCCTTTCCCAAATCGTTGGGTTATGTTTGAAAATATCTCAATCAATCAATTTGAATATTAATTGGAGATCCCAATTAATTCCCCTTCCTAAATTAGCCTAATGTTAATTTTGGAAAATCTGATATTCAAATTCGAAATCTCTTAAAGCCTTGAAATCCTTTCCCAAATTGTTGGGTTATGTTTGAAAAGATATCTCAATCAATCAATTTGAATATTAATTAGAGAACCCAATTAATTCCCTTCCTAAATTAGCATAGCGTTAATTTTGGGAATTTGAATTCAAATTCGAATTCTCCTGCAAGCCTTGAATTCCTTTCCTAAATTGTTGGGCTATGTTTGGAAGAATATCCCAATCAGCAAATCGGAATATTGATTGGAAATCTGAATTAATTCCTCTTGTTAGTAAGCTATAGTTGGCAAATCCACTAAGGCCCCAAATCAGCCCCATAATCATTTAGTACAGGAACTTGTTTTCCCCCTCCCAAATCATCCCAAAGATAACCGCCTGCTGCTGAAATACAGGATCAGCTCGTTTTCCAGCCCCACTACCAGTTGTTCCAGGATTTGGTGCCCATATAGTTGTTGTCCTGAATTTCTGAAGACATTAGAGTGTTGTTCGGACATGCAAGAGGGTTCGCATTGTTGTCCTTTCCACATATGCAATCAAATGACTTCACCGTGGCTTCGTATCTTCTTCCATGCGGGTAAACTCTCCCCCTCCCCCCCCTTATCTTTTTTATCCCTCCTCAATTGTGGCATCACTTTATTGTGAAAACTTATCCGCTTAGCCCACACCAAGAGCATTGTGTGAGTGAACCTTTTGTAGTGACTAATCTATTTATTAACTTAGGGATTGTCTTTGAAATACCATGTGAGCATGTTATTAATTAACCTATAATTTAATGGTCCTCCCAATAGCATGTGATTCTTTTCGTAAACTTGATTGCCCCCTTGCATGTAGAAGTCATTGCTTTAGTTCATTGTGAGTTAATAAATTGTTAAGCTCTGTTCAAGCACGCGTAATTTCCAAATCAACATCACTTGCATATATAGTTCCACATCAGATACTCTCTTCGCATAGGTGACACTGAAGCACCATCATTTATTTTCAATTTCTTGCTGAGAATCTCAAGATTTTCAACCATTTCATCATCCATTGGTCTTAAACTCTAGTGTCTTTTTTTCATTTAAATAAAACAAGTTTTTCAATTAATTGGTTACTTGTGATCAATGGATTCTCTATTTTCCTTTACATGAAAGCATATTACACATCATATTAGTTGCATTGAGAAACCTACCTCTAAGTCCTACATCAACTTCTCTTATGACTATCCTATATAGCAGCTTTCGCAATTTCTTGATTTTATTAGCTCTCTATTTTGTAGTTGGGTTCTCTTTGTCTGGCTTATACTCAACAATTGGTTCATATGGCCTTTATCTTATAGTTACTTTGTTCACCAAGTCTTCATGTAGCTTCATTAGTGATTCGATTCTCCTGAATATGACTCTATGAGATTGGTGCTCTTTTCGTGGTTCTATTTTGATGATGATTGAGCCACCTATGAATTTTTATTCTTCGTATAGTACAGAAGCTTTGATGGAATATTCAGGATTTTATTTTCTGTGGTTCTTCCTGCATTTTGGCCTTTCCTTTTAAGGGTTGATGAAGGGAAATTTTCAAATGGATTTATGATAAAAATTAAAGGACTAAGATATGTAAAAGAGTGACAGTTAGTGCTTGGATAAAATTCCTTGATCAAGTGAGAGGCTTCACAAGCTTAGACAGAGGTCATATCCTCCTACAATTGTGAGGCTTACTTTCAAGTGAATTATTTCCCTTCTTTATTCATAAATGTTTTGTTAATGATTTAAAAAAGCAATTGAGATTAGGCAAATTTAATATAACCTAGGTTTCATCAAAAAGTGTGAATCTCAAAACATTTGCATGGCTTTCTTGATTTTAAATTTTTAGTTGTTATTTCTAATAGAAGACTATTGATTTTGTTCATCTAAATTGATTCCATCATGTTTTTAGTCTTCGTCTAAGGAAATACAAAATAATTATATAAGATTGATAATTTGTTTTATGCAAATTTTATGTGCATGCCTAAAATGTTCTACAACATTTGTGCTTGGTGTTGTTACTTTGAATGGATAATGAATCACAAAGACATGTGGGGTTGTGGATTCGCCCATTACCAAACACCATCAGAATAAATACAAGGGTCATTGGGTCAAATGCTAAGTAACAAAGTAGGAAAAGCAGCCGTTAAATAATATTGACAACATAAATAATTGTAATAAGATCCTAAATGATTTTTATCTGGAAAAATATCATTTGCATGACTTCAAATGCAGAAAATAAATGTCATCATTAAACACATACCGATGCAGACAGAAAAGCCATATGGACATTAGTAGTCATCAACCTCTGAGGAGCCGCTTGAAAAGCTTTTTCTAAAGCAAATAGTAGCAAGGAAACTTTATCATCAAACATGGAGCTGCCTTCCTCAAACAATCCATTACTTTGGAAATTATTTGACAAGCTTGATGAAGAAATATTTGAATTAAATTTCAAATGACCAGAGGAGATCAAGGCACCCAAAAGATTGATTATTCCTACAACAATTCCATCGTCATTGTCAATGTTGAATGCATTACTCCTAGAACTTTCTGCATTCATTGAAAACCTGATGCCGCCTACACTTTTAATGAATTGAGATTCAAAAGAAGATGGCCTTTTTTCACCATTTGTTGCCACGGAGTTATCAACTATGCTGCCATTGCTAATGGTTGACTGGGATTGTGCATTTGATTCACCAGACACCATTTCCTTCTGCACAAAATGTTCAAGTTCCCTAACTTCTGCCCTAGCTTTACTGGTCGTAGTTTCCAACCCAGAGTTTTCATTTGAAACGTAACTGATATCATTCGAGCTATAGTTGTCCATATCATTATGATTTCCACTTTTAGCTTCTCGTTGCAATAGAACTAGAAGTATTTCTACACCCCCACAAGAAATAAAAGAATGAGCAAATATTTCAGCACGGGTCCCATTAGGCTGCACTGTCAACCTGTAGATCAGGCGTAATACTCTAGCAACCTAGAAAAGTACCAGTGTGAAACATGATATTTAGACTAATAAAGAGAACCTTTAAAAAAACAAATATGAAAAAGGGAACTAGCATATTATGCAATTAAGAAATTCCACTGCACAAATAGGATAACCAAAAAAGTGTTACTAACATTGCAGGCATAAATTTTTGGAAACTTTATGGTGGGTAATTGGAAAAAAATTTGACAGATAGAATAAATAAATATTCCTACAAAAATTTGTGGGTGAAGGATGCCCAACATTCAAAGATATAAGTACACGAACTGTCCCCCATCAGCTCAAGAATTTGTATGATATTCAGTCAAAATCATTTTACAGATTTGGCTGCCAAGGTACTCAGATACGGATAACAAATATCATAATGTGAACTGAAAGCTCATTAGAGAAAATCTACCTATTAGCTAAAGTAGGGTAAGGCAATGTTCATCAACACTCCTGACGTGGCGTTAAGACCACGCCATATCACCCAGTCCGGCTCAGCCGACCAAAACCTTTACTTTTTCTTTTTCTTTTTTAATTTATTTGTATTTCTGATTTATTGTTATTTCCCTCAAAGGTCCTTGGGGTAGCCTTGTCTTATAAATACACCTTTTGTAATCAATTTTTGATATATTAACAAGATTGGATTTCTGCCCTAGAATCTTTATCCCCTCTTTGTATTCTAGCCGAGCCATGAGGTAGTCCACTTTTCCCCCAACAGCCACAGTAGGTTGTCCGCACCCCTTTCCGCTCTCTCCTTCACCTCCATCTGAAGAACCTACTGCTATCAGCCACCCTCAAAACAGTCCCAGATGTGGGCCACCTGCTGTTCAGCACTGCCACCACCCCCTTAAGCAGCAAACCTACTATCTCTATATCCTCCTTGTGGGGTTCCGATATCATTTGATATCAGAGCACAACAAAACTCCAAGAATGCTGCCAAGAAGAGCCAATTCATGAACCATTCAAGAACCTTCAATCGAAGTATCACAACAGGAGATTCGCTAACTACAAGAGCATCTTGGGTGCAGGAATTATGCTGTTCAATTTAACACTGGAATGAGGAAAATTGCCAAAAAGAGGAGGAAACTCCATTTTACCAAGAAGCCTCTGGCGAAGGGGAGGAACAACCCTTTCATTATTATCATTGTGTGTGAACAAAGAAAACCGCCTCCCAATATCAAAATCAAGATAGATATTGCGCATTTTGAGGGAAGATTTGATTCGGATGAATTCCTCAATTTATTACATATTGTAAACCAATTCTTGAATACAAAGAGGTACATTTCGACCACGTTGTCAAATTGGTGACAGAAACATCAAGCCTTTGTCCCATTACATGGGGTCGGCTACATGAATCCCTTTACTCAATTGTGCCTGTTAAAAATTAAATTCTCGTTTAAATTTAATAAAGAAAGATCATTTCTAATATTTGGGCAAGCAAAATCCGTCAATCAAAGTTCGAAAAACCTCCTAAGATGCTCCATTGGCAAAAACATTCGTCAATATGACTTGATCTTATCTTAAGTAGGGTTTGCTTATAATAGATCTTGCAGCCAAACCATAGGCCGCAGCCCTTTTGAGGTGGTTTATGGGAGAAATCCCACCTCTCCTACAGATTTGATTCCACTCGTTGCCCTAACAAAGTGCAAAACCGAAGTTGAACTCCACATTCAAGAAATTTGAAAGCTCCACGAACAAGTACAGGATCAAATCAAGAAATAGAAAGCAAAGTACGCAGCACATGCCAACAAATCTAAGAAAAATCCCACATTAAAGGAGGTGATTTGGTGTGGATCAAGTTATGCAAGTAACGGTTTCTCCAGGTGATCATTGTAAACTCAAGCGCAAGGTCGATGGACCTTTTAGTGTTTTCAAGGGCATCAATGATAATGCCTACCAATTAGAATAATCAAGTGATCATCAAGTATCTGTTACCTTTAACATGTCATATTTAACCCCCTACTAAGAATATTTCTCAGCTTCAAATTATGTCAATGCCTCTCCAAGCCCGGGAGAATGGCACGGGGCTAAAACCACGACAATTCGGCCGATCCAGCTTAGCCTATCGGAACCTTTACCTCTTCTATTTTATTTTCTTTTAATTTATTTGTATTTCTGGTCTATTGCTATTTCCCTCTAGAAGTCCTTGGAGGTACCCTTGCCCTTTAAATAGGAGCTCCCTCCCCCTTTTGTTTTTAGTTTTTTAATAAATCAAGAAAATTAGATTCATGTCCCTAGTATCTTTCTCTCTTTCCTACCATTCGCCAACCTCCAAACTATGGGTGTTAACGAGTCGAGTCGAGCTCGACTTAGGGGGTGTTCGAGCTCAACTCGCGAGCCAAAAACCGAGCTCGAACCCGAGTCGAGCTCAACTCGCGACACCGAAACGAGTTCATCGAGCCGCTCGATTTTGATTTCCTGCCCGCCATTAGCGGTTTTCCCGCCAAGTTTCTTGACCAGTGGCAATGCAAAGGCCTTGAGGCCCTCGTCCACACGCAGCACGTTGTTCGTATGTTGCTTTTTCCATGGATAAAAAACGTGTCTTGCATTTTTTGTTGTTGTAGCATTAACTTTTTTTTAAACTAACTACAACACTACAGCTAACTTTTTTTTTAACTAAGTGCAGCTTTAACTTCTTTATTTTTAAATATCCTAAAAATTATTCGAGCCGGCTCGCGAGCTCATGAGCTGAGCCTCATCAAGCTTGAACTAGAGCTCGTTTACTAAACGAGCATGAGTTCGAGCTCGATGAGCTCAGCTCGCAAGCTCATAAATGAGTCGAGCTCAAACCGGCTTGGCTCACTTACACCCCTACTCCAAACATTCCCAATCATGGGCCACCTGCTGTCCAGCACTGTCAACACCCCCTTAAGCTACAGACATGTTCTCTCTACCTTCCTTGTGGGGTTCAGGTATTACCTCTCAAAACCAAATAAATGGTAAAAGCATTTTGCATATGGTACACCATACGTCTTATCTAAGCAAATCATCAGGGTTTAGACAATTAAATATGTGATGGCATCAATCAAAACCTATTTTCAGGTAATCATTTAGCCAAAATTATAGCAAGATGATGGATTTAGACTTAAGAGAAAAAAGGAATGTCATTGAATCAATAAATTATAACCAAAAAAAAAAAAACTGAGATTTGAATTATGAAAGGCTGCAAATCAATATAAACAATTTAAGAACAAAAAAGCCCATGATTAGTCTTAACATAACTGCTTTGGTTGGCATTATGAATCCTTATTCTTCACACATTCATACTGAATGACACATAAGCTGTCAACTATAATTAGAACCCAAAAAAGATGTAAAATTCTTTTCGGATGAGCCAAGAACATTTTATTTGAAAGAAAACCAAAATATGATTATCATAAATCTAAAGAAACAATGTGCAAAAAATTAATAAACATAGGCTGTTAACATGAACGACATTAAGGGCCAAAGGATTAACATAACTAACCTTTTTCTACAAGTAAATTGATTTAACATGAATTACTAAGCGAAAAAAACATATTACAAAATTAATTAAAATAGAATGACAGTAAACTTTAAATATAGGAAATAGAGAAAGACTACCAAATCTAACAAATATAACATCAATGGTTGTGTTAGGAAAATGTTCAATTATTTATTGATCATATTAGAAGTGAGATTGGTACATCAGTTCAAAAGATCCTTAATCAAAAATTTGTCATACAACTTAATGTAAAAAAACAAACAAGTAAATAATTAATGAACAACAAAGAAAGGCTGATTAATACATCAGTTTGAAAGATCCTTATCAAAAATTTCTCATTAAACATAACGTAAAAACAAACAAATAATTAATTAATAAACAACAAAAGAGGGTGGTAAGTAATTACAATAATGATATTAGAAGAGTTTATTTTTCAATTTTTCAATGGCTCAAAATGATTATGAAAATAATAACAGCTAAATATCATTATTTGAATGCCTAACATACATGCAGGAAACAAAAGCAGGTTTAAAGGATCAAAATTTTGGCATTTAAAAGGGGATGGGTCAGACCTAGTAAAATAACAAGGCAAGGAATTTCTGGATAGAAGAAATGTTTTTGCCTAAACTGTGGCCAACTCGAGATTATACCTATATCACAACTGGTTAAGGATCATATATTCAACTAGCAATGGCAATGATAACGTTGGGAACAATGAATTGTTAAAAGTAATCATTTGCCAAGCTTCTTCATAAGTAGCTTTCATGTCATCCAAATTTTCAAATGATTTATAGAATGAAAGTTTACCTGATTAGGTTGCGGGCAATCAACCAAGAAACCAAGCAAACAACAAACATCTTCATTTGCCATAGTAGTGGGTGCCGCTCCCATTAAAAGCTCAATAACAACTAAGAGCTCATCAACCAATGCATTTACTTCACCAACAGGCCGGGGTCCCCCATGAAGTGAAAATGTATCAATAGAATTATTTTCATGGATAACCCAAAAGCATCTTCTACATCCATCAAGAAGAACTTGCAAAGCATTAGCATCCCTCAGAGCTGATGATTCTGTAAATACCATGTCTGCAAGTGATGACAAAAGCTTCTTCTGTAAGCCATAATTGCAAATTCCCCACACCTTCAGATCTAACAACAACGTACTAAAGAACTGCACTTTTAATGGATGATTAGGTTTCTGATATTGACATAAAGATGTAACTGCAGCAACAAGGTCTTCATCACTTAAACAAACAGGCATTCCAAGCTCAGGATTAGACCGTGTTTTTAACAAGTATTGCAAAATCCTTGACAAAAGCTCAGGTGCTTTTGTCCGACGCAACTCCTCATTATTTCTAGGATGCTGAATAGCCATGGAAATGATTCTGAAAATTGGAGCAGAAAGGGAATAAATTCCAAGAGCTAAAGAACGATCACCAAGCTTGGGTTCCAGACTGTCCATTTGCACATCGCTGACTATCAGCGGAAGTAAAGCCATCGGACCACCATAAGCCAAGGCCCATAAGGATTCTGCTGGATGTACTCTAGTGGCAACATTAATTTGCCCAAGGACCTCGGCATGTCGTTGCTGTATACCTGAGAAATAAACATAGACTTTAAGCAAGAACTTTTATGAAAATATTCACAGATTTCAAGTGAACAATAGAATAGAAAGTTTAAGCCAAGGGAAAGTTGGAATTTTAACACTCTCCCTCAAGCTGGAGAATACATATATGTCATTCCTAGCTTGGTAATTAATCCCAAAAAAGTAGAGTTATGAAGTCCCATGGTGCACCATAGAATCCTCCATATGGTTAAAAGTTTGGGAGGAATTAGCTTCAGACATTGCGTCAAGGGCAACCATAGAATCCTCCATCTGGTTAAAAGTTTGGGAGGAATTAGCTTCAGACATTGCGTCAAGGACAAATGATAGGGATGAAAGCTATATCAATCAAGCCTGCAAGTTGTGGTGCAGCAATGGAGGCTACCTTGAACAGTAGCCCTTAAGATATCGGAAATGGAAATAAAGGCCGGTGGTAGGACAACAGGGAAAGTGGATTAATTATCATTCAGGTCCGTCTCCCTCTCAATTCTCAAGGGAAGGCCGGTAATAAAGGCACGACAGTAAAAAGGGAAAAAAATAATATTTTTTTTAAGTTTGCGGCAAACTTCAGAATAGGAGCAGAAACACATGTCTCAAGCAACTCAGCACTCGGCACACAAATCTCCTCCTTCCCAGGTCATCTAACTCCACATGAACGGACTCTTGTTCGATCGGACAGTACAGGTGCATGCAAGGCCTCCAATCCCTCTAATCTGATCGCAAGAGAGAGTGCATGACTTGCACTCTTGCTTGTCCCTACCCTCGCATGAGAGGAAACTCTCGGCTCTTTCCAGACACCCACAAGCGTAGGTCATTCACTCGCTCGATCTCTAGACGTCGCATGCAAGCCCTCCCGCTCGATCTCTCCTCGGTCTTGGATGCACGAAAGGTCCTCCAAATTACGACAATGAAGGCCGGTGGTAAGAACATGTATTCCTCATCATTCCGACAATAAAGGCCGGTATAAGGACTAATATTCCTCCGAATTTTGGCAATGAAGGCCGATGGTGGGAACTTGTATTCCTCAAAATTCAGGCAATGAAGGCCGGAGGTGGGAATCTAGCTCTGATACCATGTTAAATTTAGAGAATTGGCGAGGGAAAAAACATAATCTTATTATAAAAAATTATCCCTATTTATAGATCTATACAAGATATATTAATAAATAAACAAAAAAATATGAAATCATGTATAATTGCCCTAATATAATCCTTCCTGAATCAGCCAACCGAATATGGAAGGAGATCAACGTGATCCAGGTAAGCCTCCCACAGATCCCCACCTTGGTCGTGGGATCGAGGGCCAAGGGATGGTAGAGATTTAACAGCATTAAATAGGTGAACTTCCCACGGATCCCCATACAGCCATGGGATCAAGGGTCAAGGGACGGTTAGGATTTTAACAAATATGATATCTTATTTTCTTTACGTTGATATTCTTTTATTTTCGTTAAATTCCTAAAATAATAGACTATTGTTCACTCTTCTGCTGAGGTGTGCATTCCATTTGTTTGGATGGATTTGTTGACAGATATATCAAGCTAATTGATAATAGATCTAAAATCTAGAAAACCAAACCAAACAAAATATATGTGCAATCGAACCACAAAAAAAAATAACTGAAGTGCAGTTCAATTTCTTTGGTCGGGTTTGAAAAAACCAATTTTTTGAGTGATGATAATTATATCATTAAATCGGAGAATTGTTTCAAATAATCTTATAAGCATTGGACATGTTGCTCTTGGATTTGCTAGCTCATTAATATTTTGAGCTGCAATTTAGCTCATTATGAGCTGGTTTTTAGTTCATTTATTGAAATAAAAAGGTAGCTCATTATAGTGGAACTTAGCCCTTTCTCTTCCCCATGCTGCCTCTCGGTTTCCTCCTTGTCTTCTCGGTTTCTTGTGCCTGCTGCTCTGTTCTCTGTGTGACTCCTCGGGTCCCTTGCTACTGGTTTTCCCGTGGTTCCCTGGCTGGTTCCCGTGCCTTGGCCCTTTGGTTCCCGTGGTTGGCTGCTTGGTTCTCGTGGCTTCTCTTCTTTGTTTCCTGTACCAAATGAGGGCTGCTGGGGATTTTGGTGGCTGCCTCTTTGTTTTTTGTGCAGTTTTCTGCTGCAGCTTCTTGCTGTCTCTTGGCCTTCTTCTTGGTGACTTATGGCCTTCTATTTTCCTATTTTAATGAGATTAATTAGTGGTTTTAAATGGCTGTTAGGCTGCCCTCTTTTCCCTATATATAGGAGATGTTTTGAAGATAGAAAAGGTTGGTAAAAAAAAATGCAATTTTTGGATAACAAAACCTGAGGTTTTTGGAAAAGCTTGAGAGCTTGTTCCACTTCTTCTTCTACTTCCTGGGAAGGCTTGCGAGCTTCTCCTATCTTCGTCTTGGACTTCTTGCCTCCTCTCCGCAAGTACCATTCCACTTGTATCTTTATTCTCTCAAGGCAAAGCTTCTTTAGGCCAATGGATGAATGCAACTTTATGTGTCTTGTTTGAGTCGTTTGTAAGTGTCAAAGTTTGTAAGTCAATTTATTTTATAAAAGTGGAGTTTGTGTTTTGTTTTGAAAGTCATATTTTGTCTAAATTTGAATGTTTCTTGTAATCTTCTAGTACCTAGGAAGAGTGGTCTTTGCTCGCAAAAATTTGGGGCCCTTTTCAAATTTTTGCTTGCATCAAAAGAGGAAAGAAGAGCTTAACCAACCTGCCGCAACAGATGGTGACGCATCTGGACAAACGCGACTGCTGAGCAAACAAGGGTGGTAGAGAAGGTGCAGGCTTCCTCCAATATCAGCATCCAAAGCCGAGCTTTCTTCAGCTAGGCTTCTTGCGTGCTCATTTACTGCTAACCATGGTAAGCCTGCACCTTTTCCAAAAGATGGCAAAGCATCTCCTCCTCGGGAAGCTAGTCGTGCCATTATATCAGGCCCAATGGGTTCCTTAAAAATATAAACAGGACCCATCTCAGCAAAAAGAGGACACTGGCGTTTATGTCGCTGCAGGCCAGGTAGTGTGGGGGGAGGATTTGTTCCAATGCTGCAGAAAGAAAGCGGCTTTGATGTCCTTAGAAGTTCAAAAGGTCGAGTCTCTTGCAATTTCCCATCAACATACAATCTCACCTCACTCTCAGCTTTGCTAAGCAAACTATGTTTACAGCTGTGCTCAAGGCCAATAAAGTACCAGCACTGCGGCTTGAATTCATAACTGAAACGAATAAAAGTCTTCTTTCCCTTGCCAGCGCTGATTTCCATGACCAAGAATTGTCCATAGAAATATGCCTCCACCCACTGGTTATCTGCTGATACAAAACTAAAGATCCAAGGAGTTTGGATAGAAACTTGGCCGGTAATCTCGCTAGGAGCTAACACCCCGGCTACTGCAACAGACGATGATTTGCCCAAATCGGCGGCTGCTGGAGCTGCAGTGGTGCTGGTGGAAGGTTCAACACACACCTCGTCTAACAACTCCAAGTAAACCCAAGATACGAAAGCATAACCATTGGAGAAAGGCCAGCGATTCTCACCAGGAGCAAGCAACCCAGAGCTCCGGCCATCAAACTCAAATGTAATCGCCGGACCCCTCGCCTCTTCACTCCTCATGGCATTCTCTAAAGACAGCATCAACGGCATTGCCCACTCGGTGGCGATAATTTTTTTAATCAAATTAAGCCAACGCTGGAGATCCATAACGCTCAAAGAGTGACCACCGAGAACCTGGATGCAGTAAAACAGAGGCCAGGCATTCCAACGAATACGGTCTGTCGTATCCAAAAGGACATTCTCCGCTGCATCCAAAAGGAATCTAAGCAGCCCGATGGACGAGCACATCACACGGTTTCTGGTGCACGATTTCAGAATCAAAAACAAACCCTTCACCATTTTCGTCCTCGGCGACATATAAAACTCTGAATCACCTTCACAATGTAGCCAAGGGATGAGTTCCGCCGCCACAGCTGCAGCTCTTGAAGTGAGCATCACGCTGGGCGTCGATTCTTCAAACCCAGTACCAACCATTTCATCCAGGCCTTCCACTCCGTCCATGGTGACTAGCAGCGCATCCACCACAAACCTGGAAACCTCCAATGAATCTGCACCAGAAGCCATTGCTTTCAGCTTCTCCATGCAATCTAACCTCCCCATGATGACAGAATCCACAAGATGTACGAGCTCCGGCGGTATGTCCGGCATCGTGAGTTGCCTCCCTCGCGGCTCAGGCGGCGATCCAGCCAAAGAGTCGAAGCTGGCGGTAGAGGAGGAGGGATTGATTGTATGACTGCAGAAGTACTGATCGGCGTGCATTTCGTTAGAGAGAGTGCCGAAGGCGTCGAGCTCTCCCGAGGAATCAATGGACGAACGCATGGAGCCTTCGGCCGGGCCAAGATCTGGGACGGGGCTGTCGATATCGCGGAGGGAAACTGGCTCAAATAAATCTTCTTCATAGAGGGAACTGGACGAGCTCGTGAACGTGAGCATCACGCGGCTCTCCGCACCAGGCGAAGCCCCATTCGGCGTTGTCGTGGCTTCATCCGGATCGTCTTCCATTGTCGTTACAACCTCTATCTAGATCGAGAGGTTAATCTAGATCTGGGGAAGAAGAAGTAAATGAATGGAGGAGGAATGCTGGGATACAACAGATCGGCGGTGCGAGGGTAGAGATCTACCGCTATTGTGGAAGGAGTGTAGGACCAAAAAGGTGCTTGGGATGGCCGACAAGCGCCTGCATGCAGATTATTGAAAGAGCCGGAGAAAAAGGACTCGCTGCTATTTTATAGCTTTTGGCGACGCCGGAGAGCCCGTCGGAAGGCGAGGCGACGAGGCGCTTCGCCTGCTATAACTAGACTGGATTTGGGGCAGAACCATAATGCCTCCGCATTCCGCAAATTGGTTCATATACGGCCCACAAAACAGATAATTAATCGCTTGGAAGAATTAAAATAATATTATTATAATAATTTAAGGTTTTGGGATTTATCCATTATTTTATTTGTTAGTGGATTCAAACGGCCTATATTATATGCATATTGTATTTCCGTGATAATTCTTAATAAGAGATAATATAATTATGCTCAATTATATGCATTACAAAAATCTTGATTTATATGGCAATACTTATTCACAATAATCAAAATAAATTGTGTGAGTTATATAGGAATTTGTGCAACAACTAATATGCATAATTAACTATCAGATAATGTCAAAATAGTCAGTTGAAATACTGTTAATAAAGAAGTACGTACTACATTCATTGTCGGTAAGTAAAACATACAACAAATAGCAAGGGATGTGCACCTGAGAATGAAGGGTGTGTTTATCCCTGACTGAGTAAAGATACCAAATAGATATTACAAGAAGTTGAATGTTTCGATCTCGAAACCAATCTTTCTTGTTTCAACATGTGATGCTCCATGAATCCTAATTTCAAAATAATCTTCATTGAACAAACATTCAATATATTATGCAACAAATATTAAACATCAAAATAGTTTCGTAAGATCAATGATTCAAAAGGTTTCTCTATTTTATTTTTCATAGGTAATCTCAAACATCAACTAGTCACTTAATACTCTATAAATAAAATTACATTAATTATGTCTTCATGAACTTCGATTACCTTCTAAGTTTTAATTCATATAAAATCTCAATACCTTTCTAAGTTTCAAATTTGAAAGTTACGCTTCACAATCTAACCTTAAGCCTATATGAATACATGAAATAAAACAAAGGACTATAAAATCTATGGCTCAAATATCGCAATTTGATCACTTTAAACAAAATCTCACAAAACATAATTTTTGCTCTTAATTTATGCATGATTTCCATCTCAAGGGTTCATAACAAGTGCATGTTTACATAACAGACTAATATTTATACACTTAGAAACAAGTATAAATGCATAAGAAAAGTTTGGTGTTAGGGTTTACCTAAATCAAATAGATGAAGCAGAGGATGATAGTAAGAACACAAAATAATGAGATGTTTGTACTTCTTCCCATTTTTCCTCCTCCCCTCACGCTCAGGTAGACAAAGTCACAGATTTATAAAGTTGTCTAACTGCGAAGCTTTCGAGCATGTCCTTGACCGCTTTTTTCCCTTGCCAGTGCATTGTGTGCCCAAAGGTTGACGCCAACTATTGCTTCCTTGAATTCCCACTCACAAGTTGTGTCATCCCTCAACCGTCACCACTGGCCCACTGCATGATAACCAACTTGGGCTCAATGCTTAACTAATGACATAGACCTATTGCCCAAACACCATAGTCCAACAATCACCCCCGACCGCCACCATCGACCAATTACTCGCCTGTTATTATTTCTTTAACACCCAATAAGTGCAAAAGGAACATATTTGAATAACAATAAAGTGATGAAGTGGAGCACAACGACACTGACTGTTTTGAGCATTGTGATGCATGGCTTAAGAGCACATAGGGGTGTCAAAATAGATTTTTGAGTCGAGTTCTAGTCCAAACTAAAAAAATAAACGACCTTCAACCCCTCTAACCCGAACTTAACTCGATTTACAAAATGGGTCTTATTCCTAGACCCGGGTCTAATTCCTAGACTCGGGTCTAATTCGGGTCAACCTGACATAACATACTGATTCTCAAGGCAATCAGGCACACACAGGTGCAGGCATGATCTCATGTGGTTAAAGGGGCAAGAGTGTGTATGGCGTGCTTGTGAGTGTGAGTTTGGGTGCTGGGGTGTGTACGGGAAAGAGTGGGTGCTAGTGCGATTTCATAAGCATTGCAAAGCACGAGCATGGGTGATGTGGGCAAGAGCACGGGAGTTCGAGACTACTGCGTGTGCAAGATCTAGGAGATCTGAGTCCTTTTGGATTTTTAAGTCAACCCGAATCCTACACGATTTTAGAAACATGCCAGGAAATCAAACCCAAACCCGACCCATCTGACAAACATGTTAACTTGAACCCATAAATTTTTTTAGTTGGGTCTGGGTTGGGTTTCAAGTAGGGTCAGATATTGACACCCTTTAGAGCACAATAACGCCATAATCGATTGCAAGTCAATACATGCTTTCATATGAAGGGTTAAAAATAGTTTTTTTATTATTATACATGAGTTGAAGGAGAACCGTATTAGGTTGGAGCATAAATTGAATGTTCCAACCAATCATTTTAACTGTTTTGTATATAGGAAGGAGTAATATGAGAATGTGGAGAGCAAAGTATTGCTTGCTAATGTTGTATCTACTCACACATATGAGGTTGGGGATGCAATGTGGAAGGATAAGAATATATAATAGGATGTGCTTGAGGGGGTGACGGGCATAGAGGACTAATTCCTTACCACTATACCTACAAAATGAGAGATCAAGGAGGTAGTGAATATCAACACATCTTTTATAATTATATGTAAGAGTAACACATAGTTATTAGTGTTCAAAATAAGGGAGTAAATGAATTAAAAGTATTCAATTGTAGATTTGATAAATCCATTAAATTGAGGCACAAGCCTATAAATTCATGCACCATTGATCTCTTGCATTTGATTGATGAGGAGTAATTGTCCTCCAAAATTTCAAAGCTATGATTAGTTGACAATTCAAAAGAAAAGGATATAAGAGTGGACAGTGGAAATGCACAGTGTGGTTTCAATAGTTGAATACTCCAATAAAATGATTAGATAATTATGCAAGAAATATTTATTTTATAGAAAGTATGAGTTTTTTAATGCTCTTTTTACTACAATTATTATTTTTGTTTCACATTGATTCTTTATGTTTTCTACTAAGGGAGCGAATCGGACGCCACCCAAAAACCTATAGATCTAATATCATTGTGTTGGACAAACCATTAGAATTATTCTGCAGAATATCAATCAACGTGTACACATTATAAGGAATGAAATAATCATTTAACTAGTCGGGACAAAAGAGGAAGTTTATGGAGTCATGGGAAGTTTATGGAGTCATGGAATGATGAAAACCTTGTATATTTTTTTAATGAATTGGAATAAAGTTTATTGTATTATATGTGAGTTCTCATCTCATATGATGTCTATGAATTGTATGACTATGAAATGCCTTGCACCTCAAAATAGGTTTTGGAGGCAATGGTGAGTTTGTCTACCAACTACTGCTCTAAGTTAACTGAGCATATAGAGTTATTAGACAATAGGTATAAAATTTTCTCTTTCAAATCTTCTTGGAAGTGGAGAAGAGCCACTATAGATATGATCTCCACATATGATGTAAAATAATTCATTTGAAAGTTAATAAATTTTAAGTAATTTAAGTATTTCTTCCACATATAATTTGAATATTATTTCAGGTCTTATTTTCAACTAAAACACATAATATATATGATTATTATACAAAATCTTATGAAAATTACACATGATCGAATGCTATTTTACAATAAACATTTATTTTAGATTTATTTCACAACAATGTAGATATTTGGGGTTTGTTTACTATTTGATGTAAACATTAATTCTTTGTGTATACTTTTTTTATTAATTAAAATTACATTACTTCTAAATTTGTATTTCATGCCTTCTAGATTTTGTACTATAGCTTTCGAATTGCACAAATTATTTCTTGAAAATTAATAGCAATCATATTTTTATGAGGTATAAAAAGTCAAAACTTTTTTCTTAAATGAAATTTAATAAAAAATATGTCTTTTTTAATTATATAAAAAGGATTCTACAACTTGATCAGAGGGAACGGAGAATCGAAAGAGGCTGCGAGGTGATGCCCTAGCCGTCTCTTCATCGCGCTCGTTTTTTCCCTCCTTTCTCCCTGGCTGCCACCGGCCTTCTGCCGGTGGTTTCCATGGACCCCCTTGACTCCACTTCATTTCCACCCATGGCCCAAGCTTCATCATCCGCCGCTCCTGCTCCACCACGCATGTTAGATCGTTTATGGTCTAACATCATCGCTTCTCCCACTCTGTCCGCGCCGCATATTCTGGTTTCCCTCATGGAAACACCTGAGGAGATTATCCCATTTGAGTCAGATTTTATTGTTCCAGCTATCGTTGAGTGGAACCTTTGTCTTGTCGGGTATTCGATCAGTAAGCGTCCCTACTATGAAGCTCTTAATGAAACTGCAAAAAGGATTTGGAAGCTCAAAGGTACCTTCCAACTTATTGCTCTTACGGATGGCTTCTTTTTGTTTAAGTTTTCTTTGTTATAAGATTTTGATATGGTCTGGTCTAAATGAGCTTGGTTTTTTCACGGTAAGCCATTCGTATTTCAGAAATGGACCAAAAATTTTCATCCTACTAGGGAGAATTTTTCTTCTGTACCGATATGGGTTAGAGTTCATAATCTTCCTTTAGTATGTTGGAACTCTGAAGGAATCTCAAAAATAGCTTCAAAAATTGGGATACCGATAACGGTTGATGCCCTGACGGCTACTAACCTACGCTAGGGTTTGCATTCAGGTTTCCACTATTTCTTCCTTCCCAGATACTGTTGTTGTGTCAATTGAAGGGGATGTGTTAAAATTGCAAATTCAATACGAATGGAAGCCATTACCTTGCACATCTTGTGCCTCTCTAGCTCATGCTTCTTCGAATTGTCCCACTGCTCAGTCTTATGAGCAAAAAACTCAAACCCAGTTCAGGTGACGCAGCTTCTCTAGGAATCATCGAAAAAAATCTCAATCAAGACTCAGAATGCAGTAACAAAAAAATGTGTTAGAGGTGATGTCTAATATCACTCCTGCTGCTTCCAATTCTCTGATTCAAAATCAAATTGGGCCTGCTTCTACTCTTGCTCTGATACCGTCTCAGGTTACTTGGTTACCCAAAGAAAATACCTCTGGAGGGAAAGATAAGGTGGTAGCCGACCATGCTGAACTTCCTAATGAGACCCAGTTTCTACTTCCTACGGATAAACCAGCTGAATTCCCTAAGCCCTCTCTGGGTACTGCTACTATGCTCGTCAGCATACCTATTCCAAAACTCAACTCTCCTACAGATGATTATTTAAGGGAGATCGATTTAGCTCAAGCCAATACCTTACTACCTCCTATTGTTAAAACCAGTAATATGTATTCCTCTCTTCAGGGTTCTGAGGAGTTAGCTGCTACTACTTCTAAAAATGAATGTAATTCTTATTCAAAACCGACCTCTAATTCCAGTGGTAAAATATCCAAACCATCCCAACCCAAGAATAGCAAGGGGAAGGGTTCCAAAAAGCCGCCTACCTCTTCCGCGAAGCGTAAATGATCTGTCCAAACATAGCGGCATGGAATATTTGAGGTTTCTCAACCTCTAATAAGGTATCTTTATGTAAAATGTTAGTCCAATCCCTTCGGCTGGACATGATTTGTATTCTTGAGAATATAATACAGCCTGAAAATCTCTCAGATGTGAGTTTCTTCAATAGTCACTTGGTTTATGATATGGAAGCTAGTTGCAACAATTTTCACTGTGCCAATCCGGGTAGGATTTGGCTTAAATGGTGTACTGATAGGTTGTCCTTTCAACCCTGTTTTTTCTCTTCCCAAATGATAGCTGGTATGGTTCTCTATGGATCTAGTACTCCTTTTCTTCTATCTGTGGTTTATGCTTCTAATAGTCAGGTAGACAGGAAAGTTCTTTGGGATGATTTAAGAACTCTTTATCCTACTGCCAGCATTTCGTGGATCTTAATGGGGGACTTCAACTGTTGTAGGTTCCCCTCTGAGAAACTTGGTGGTAATGTTCTTCATCATAATCAGCTGCATGATTTCAATAGTGTCATCTTTGACACTAATCTTAAAGATTTGGCTTCCACTGGACCTTGTTATACTTGGTATAATCAGCGGACTGATAGTCCTATACACATCAAATTGGACCGTATATTGGTCAATGAGTTCTGGCTCTCCTCCTTCCCTGATTCTTATTACATTATTAAAAACCCTGGAGGTTCCGATCACTGTTCAATTATTCTCCAGTCCATAGTTAATCATTACGGCAAGCATAGGTTTCTTTATAAAAATTACTGGGCCAAATCTGAGAAATTTTGGTTATTGCTGTTTGATATATTTGCTGCCAAGTCTATTGGTAATCCTCTTGTTGATCTTTGCATTAAACTCAAGCTTTTGAAAGTGGCTGTTATGGGAAAAAGGTGGGCTTTTGCAAATATGATGGCGAACAATTTAAAATCCCTCTAGGATAAGCAATCTTCTTGTCTGGAGAATCTGAAAGCTGATAAAAATATTTCTCAAGTTTCATTAGAGCTTAAAAATATCAATTTGCAGTTGAAAGCTGCCTCTTCTATGTGGTTTTCTTGGGTGAAACAGAGAGCTAAAGCAAAATGGTTAACACAGGGTGAGGATGATCTTAAGTTTCTTTATGCAAGGATTCGTGTGAGGAGAAATTATAAAAAAATCGCTATTACCTTAGCTATGTCTGAACCGGATGCTTCTATTTCTAATGCTATTAAAGTTTTTATAGCTTATTTTCAAACTCTCTTTAATATCCCTCATAACCTGGACTTTGACATCAATTACTTTCCCCCTGGTAGTGTGATTCCTCATGATTCCACTAACTCTCTTACTGTTGCATTTACTGATATAGAGATTAAAAAGCAGTTTTTTCGGGTGCTTCCAATTCTAGTCCAGGTCCTGATGGCTTCAATTTTGAATTTTTTAAAGATACTTGGGTGGTTACTGGTCCCACGGTTTGCAATGCAATCAACTATTTTTATCATACTGCTTACATCCCCCGCTCTGCTAAAGCCACTGCCATAATTCTTATCCCTAAATCTAGTCATGCTGAGACTATTTCAGATTTTCGTCCCATAGCTCTTTGTAATACTTCTTACAAAATAATTGCAAAAATATTGACAGATAGGATGAAGCCTATTATGCCCATCATCATCAAGGAAAATCAAGCAGGATTCATCAAAAACAGGATTTATACTGATAATGTTATGCTGGCTAATGAAATCCTTCAATATTCTAGGAAATCCTCGAACTACAAGTTTATGTGTGTTAAACTTGATATAAAGAAAGCTTTTGACAATGTCTCTAGACATTTTCTTCTTGCTAGAATGGTGCAAAAAGGTTTCCCTAATACCTTTATAAAATGGGTAGAAGCTTGTATTATGGATGTATGATTTTCTTTATGTATTGATGGTGCTCTGGAGGGGTTCTTTCCGTCTACTTCTGGGCTTAGGCAGGGCTGTCCACTAAGTCCCTATCTCTTTACAATTGTGATGGATGCTCTGTCTTGTTTGCTAGATAGTAATCTTCAGCAAAATCACTTTGAAGGTCTCACATTTGGAAATTTTAGGCTCTCCCATCTGTTGTATGCCGATGATTTGATTATTTTTGGGAAAACCGATCTCAATAACTGTAGGAATCTTTCTCAAATTCAAAATGATTTTTCTCTGGCTATGGGTCTTACTGTTAACTTAGAGAAAAGTTCAATCATCTTGCCACCTAACTGTGAAATTGCTGCTGATATTTGCTCCTCTCTCAACATCACTTCTGTTTCGTCTAGCATGAATTATCTGGGAATTCCTCTGTCTCCCTATCACCCGAAGCTTGCTAGCTTTTCTCTGTTTATGGAAAGCATTATTAATAAGCTGCCAGGATGGAAGGCTAAAGCTCTCTCGTTTGCCGGCAGGCTCCAATTTCTTATATATACTATTTGAAATACGATTGCCTATTGGATTCGTGGTGGTATTATACCTAAAACTATTCTCAAACAAATTGATAGGCTTTGTGCTAAATTCCTATACTTTGGATCATAATGCTAAAAAATTGCATTTAATATCTTGGCGGAACACTTGTAAGCCTAAAAATATGGGTGGTATTGGCTTACCTTCTTTAATTTCGCTCCAATTTAGCTTTAATTGCTCTCTCATTCCTATGATATATAACTATAATAGCCCTCTTAGCAATTGGCTGTTTAACTTATATATCTCTCCATGGAAGGACCCGATTACTAAAGCTTCTAATTATTGGAAAAATATTTCCCGGGATGCAAAGTTAGCTAAAGAAAATTTTCACTTTAGAGTTTCTTTTCACTCTAATTTTTCCCTGTACTGGGACCTTGGTTTAAAGATAAATGTCTTTGTGATGTTACTGACCTTCGGCCCTTTCTTGGTTCGTTTCCTGTGAACGAGAGGATTTCTGCTATTATTAGAGGTAATGCTTGGGAATTACCCGTAAATTTGCCACATTTTGTGCATTTGGCCCTTTCTGATATACCTATCAATACGAGCGATGTGGACATTCTGTATTGGGGAAATGGTAAGATTGGTAAGCACAAGCATTATAGGGATTTTTACTTTAAAAACATTTTGATAAAGTGAATTGGTGGAAGTTTGTGTGGCATCAACGTTGCATTCTCAGATATTCTTCTTTTTGCTGGATGGCTATTTCTGGTGGATTAAAAACAGCGTATTTACTGTTAGCTAGAGGAATCATTGTTGATCCTAAATGCCCTTTTTGTCATGATTTTGCTGAATCTGTTATCCACCTCTTCTTTGAGTGTGACTACTCGTTCACTATTCTTTCTAAGCTCATGTCTAATCTGGGGTTTTTACTGTTGAGGCCCAATGTCCTACAAATTTTCGAATTTATTGGTGAGACGCATGATAAGAACAAGGATTTCTATTATCTTCTTATATGTTATTCGGTTTATTTCATTTGGAGAGAAAGGAATGAGAGGAAATTTGGGTCCTCCTCTATATCATCTACATCGTTAGCTCTTAAAATAAAATCTGCTATTTTTTCTAGAATTATGAAATGGAATTCTAGAGAGAAGTTGATGGAATTGCTGTAAGTTTTTGCTGGTCTGTGGTAAGTTAGAGCTTTCTGTTGTATTTCCTGGTATTGGGTTGTTTTTTCTAGACGAAAATTCTGGGCTGTTTTAGCTCAGTATGGTGGATTCAGTGGCTTATTTTTTCTGGAAGATGGGCTTGACTGTATGGTTTGCTCTTTCTCCTTAAAGGGCAGATTTTGGCTGGATTGACTTTGGGTATCTTTGGCTGAAAGGTTCTGCAGTTTTGGAGGTGGATTATGCAGTTTTTTGGTTGCTGGTTTATTGGGTTGGGATGATCGATTTGCCATTTTCTCCTTTGGAGGGCAAAATTTTTGGGCCGTTTATTTTGCAACTAGGTAGAGAGAGCGGCAAATCCTGAGCCCGCGGGGTCTTATTCAAGATCCTGTTGCTTCTGGTTTGATTGGTTGTTTTCTCTCTTTATCTTTCTTTTTGTTAGTCTTCTTCATGCTGGCTTTTTATGGGAAATTTTGTATTTTTTTCTCCCCTGTTTTTATTAGTCTTTAGTTCTTTTGGTAAAGGTTTCTTTTTACAGTAATTTATTTTACTTGTAACTATCTCATTTTAATGAAAAGGGCTATGCCCAGAATTTTCCAAAAAAAAAAAAATTATATAAAAAGAAAGGGGATTTATGATTCTTATATATTTATGTATCTAATATATATAAATTAAAAATTGATAAATTTATTTATTGCATTTAAATATCTTAATTAATTTAAATATATGCATAAAAATATATATTTTATTTTATAAAAATTTGATATTTATAATATTTTGATGTGATTTATTTTATATAAATAAATGTTAATATTTAAATTTTAGATAGATAATAAATATATAAGAATTGTATTGTAATAATTTAAATCCCAAAAATAAATACTCGTTTCTACAAAGTCTATAGTTTTTAGTTCTGGTACGATTAAAGTTCCGCGGGAAGAAAATAGGAAGGTGAAGGGCTTAGAAGAGAAGAGGATGAAGCAGCTGAAAGTGTTCGCAGATCGGATGTCGCAGCCGTCGCGTGCTGTCATAATATTCTGCAAGTATGGCTTCCACCTTTATAAGATCAATCTTCCCTCCATTGCCGGTGCCTCATCTCTGTTCCTTTGTTGTCTTCAACGTCTGTTTACAGGATTAATGGAATCGATTTTGAGGAGGTGAGGATAGATCTCCGTAAGGGCGACCATAAATCGAAGGAGTACCGAGGTTTGTCCTCGTAAAATATGCATTCCATCTTTTACTTTTTTTGCGTTACTTTCCCACCGTAGACTTGCGGGATCGGTGAAGTGAATACAAAAAAAAAAAAAAAAACGGTCGATTTCTTTAAGTACGTATCTTCTAAAGTTTTTTTTTTATGTGATACAGTAACTTGGGCATTATTTCGAAAATGGGAAACATCAAGTTTGTTACTGTGTGATTGGTTAAGGAAACGTGGATATTTACTGTATTTAAAACATCTTTTACGTTCATTTTCTGTGGTGAAGATTCATGTGGAGATGTTCGATGGGCTACAACGAGAGAGAGAGAGAGAGACAGAGTGATGTAGTGGATCGTCGGAAGATGCGACCTGCAAAAAAGATTTGGGTTTTCCCAATCCAGGGAAGAAGAAGAAGAAGCTTTCAAAGCTTTAACAAAAGGATAATATCATTCAATGCTTTTCCTATTACAAAACCTGCTATTTATAATGTAAAAAGAGCATTCTAGAAGTTCATTCTAACAAACTAGATAAGGTGTCCTAGGGAACACCTCAAGCTTAAAATGCACCGCATCATTCTCCCCTAGCGTAAAAAGGCTCGACTCCGTCGAGACGCATTATTGAAAAAGAGACTGTTGCAGAAGACAGATTCCCGGATCGAAGATTTTGTTCTCATCATTTGCATCTTCCTCATAGTCTGTTTGAGCTGATGTTCTTCCACGTAGTATTTCAAAATTCTCAAAGCATGATCCCAAAAAACATGCATCTCTTTTTACAGAGGATTTTTGTAGTTGAGATCCAAGTGCTAAGGCATCCCGTATTTGTTTTAACCCACTCAAATTGTATGTTAAATGATATGTGCCAATGACAAAATCATGGATATCCTGGCTAGTGCGAACATTCACAACTAGAATAATTGGGCCATTATCATTGATTGCTTCTTCCAATATTCTCTCAAATAACTCACCAACTTTTTTGACAAGCTCTTGAGGGACTTGATTCCCATCAGTATCAAAGAGGGCATAGCTCTCAATGTCGTGATCAAATAATACAGAATTGTCATTGCTGGTGCGATAAAGAGGAAGCCCAAGTCTTCTAATCAAAGGTGCCAATGGATTTTGATTGTAGACACCGTTCAACCAGGATACACCCATGTCAACAGAAAATCCAAAAGAGTAATCAGTGTGCCCACGACCACCAACTCTATCCTCAGATCCCAAAACAACCACCTGAAAGGATGCGTTCTTGAGAGCACGACCGGCGGCAAAGCCTGCAAATCCTGCACCAATGACAATAGCAGAAGGAAGGGATGGCTGTCTTCTCTCATTGTCAAGAAATGGCATTCTAAACTGTTGCTGTTGTTGAAGCAATGCACCAAGATAGGCTCTCTGGATACCAAGTGAATCTCCATAAGAATTGCCCATGAAGCCTCTCGGCAGCAATCGGTCAAGTTGAACATCTGCAGTAACAATGTAGTTATCATTTAACTCAATATCCCCATTTGGCCGATCACGTCTCTTAGCAAACTGAACCGCTGTTGCCATAGGAGCGTTCTCCCAATCACTATCCACGACTTCCTGAACCAGAGGCTGGATGGACATGGTAGAAGCAGCATCCCCACACGGAATGGATGGGCTCGAGATACAAACCTGGACGGAATCGACGTGAATGTCCGAAGGAGTTTCTGCCTCAGGAATGAATAAGTCGGAGCGTTGGGCATCTGAATTGGAATCTTCTTCCGTAGAGCTGATATCCGATGGAGTCGTAGCTCCGGATGCGAGTGACGGATCTCGCATTTCAGAGTCCAAAGGAGCAGGAATTCGAACTTGCTGTTCGTGTGGACGGGAAGCGGCTAAGGGCTGTGATCGGAAAAGGCATGTCGCGTCTCCCTGGAGAATGTCGACAGAGTTTTCCGGCTGCTTACCAGAGTCTCGCTGGAGGTTCTCCGGCTGGGGCTCCGATTGCAGAATGTCGACAGAGTTCGGAAGTTCCCCGGCTGGGGTTCCGGTTGCAGGAAGATCGAGTCTCAAAGGAGCGGCGACTGTGAGATGGGGCTCCGTCTGAGCGGGCGGTGATGGAGGATGGGTAGCGGAGGGATTGAGAGGAGCTAGAAGCGGTCCAGTGAGCTGAGCAGAGACGTCGGACTCGTGCAGGTAAGGCGTGCAGGTGTTGCACACGGAAGGCCATGCTGCAGGCAGCGGTCCATACTCGGTCGCTGGACCTTCGAGGGCGATTGGTCTTGCGCGGGCAGGTCTGCGTTGGAGCCGAACGGAGTCGGATGCGGATGGAGTAGAGGAGATCGGAGGAGAAACAGAGGATGCGGAAGTAATCTGTGGAGGCGGATCGCGCCATCTCAGCGGAAGCTCGAGCGGCGGATACTCCGGCGGCGGGTCACGCCATCGGAGAGGGAGTTCGAGCGGAGGGTAGTCGTCAACCACAATCGGTTGATTACGGATCCTTTTGCGGGAAGCGGAGTAGAAGAGGGAAGGTGAAGACGAATACCTCGGTATGGTTGCTGACGACATTCGCATCTTCCTTATTGCCCAAAGGTTCCGATCTACCCGATCGAGTGATTCCTTCGCTTGAGCTTGGTAGAAGGTGATCCGGCTTCAAGCATCGTCGACAGCCTACCTTCCTTGGCGCCGATTGTCGTCGACCGCCAATCCTATTTTGCGGCTTTGATCGTCGTCGACAGCCAACCTTCTTCCGCAGTTCATTGATCTTCGCAAGCTCCAGGCTCTTATACCAATTGATGTAGTGGATCGTCGGAAGATGCGACCTACAAGAAGGATTTGGGTTTTCCCAATCCAGGGAAGAAGAAGAAGAAGCTTTCAAAGCTTGAACAAAAGGATGATATCATTCAATGCTTTTCCTATTACAAAACCTGCTATTTATAAAGTAAAAAGATCATTCTAGAAGCTCATTCTAACAAACTAGATAAGGTGTCCTAGGGAACACCTCAAGCTTAAAATGCACCGCATCACAGAGTGGGAGGTTGTATGTATTCCTGGATGTTGGTGTTGTGAGATAGGCTTGTGAACCTGAGAAGATGAATAGGCTGAGCTAGATTGTTGTTTTGGCAATATAGATTGGTTATAGTGTTAAAAATGGTTGTATTGGATATTTTATGAAAAGCAAGGTAGTAAACAAGAACATACTGCAGTCTGGTCTTTTCTCGACATTTTTTCTTTATCATTAGATCTTAAAGGTTCACCTGCTGAAAGCAGGCTTAAATCTTGGCTTTCGGAGGTGTGCCAAAAAGGCTTGTTGCTTATCGATCTTGCAGGAGAAGAAAAGGTAATCTTTCTGTCATACTCAACGGGTTTTGTGAGAAAGCAAAATTTTTATTGTTTTACAAGAAAGAAGGCAACATTCCTTGCAATTGGGAGGTTTTAGCTCCTCATATGATCTCCATGCGAGTAGTTCTCATGGTGGCCGCCTTCACAGCTCTTGAACTTCAGCATAGAGTAACTCTTTTGAGCCACATGGAAATGTAGGATTTCTTGAATTGGGGTGGTCTAACTCAAAGGTCAAGGGATAGAATCATCTAGGAGACAAAATCTCCTCGCTGAAGTCACCTTCACCACTCGACTAATTTTTTGAAGTCTTTTTCTAACAAAATATTGAGTAATATTGGAAATTTGACTTCTGGGAGGCAACATTTCACCATCTTAGTTTATGATGAACTAGAATGAAGCATGCAAGCAGAGCTTACAATATCCTTAACTATTCATTATACTTTTTTCCCATCAACAGTACCAAAAGCCACATTTGGTGAGATTCATCATTAAAAATGCAGCTGTTAAACAACCATGGTTAGATCATTCTGATGACTCTTGAAGATCCAAGGACTGAAATTCAAAATCTTCTATCTTTTCTCCTCCCAATAATGGAAAGCTATAATCTTAAGGTAGATTTTAAGCCTAGAGTATTTAGGCGTATAATTTTGTAACACAAATTCTTTGATTTTGTTAAAGAAATAAATGTCATGTTTATGGTGTTAATGTTTGTGCATTAGAAGTTTGAAACACTTTGGGCGTGGTGTAAACACTTTTTTTTTTTGGAAAGTTGCATTAGCATAAGTATATATGCGTGGCGTGAACTCTTTAGCATAGGAATGTGTAGTTGGAGAAGGAGAGCTTGGAACCTTGTCAAGGTCTTCTGGTTACTGAAGTTTATTATTGGGAAAATATCATAGACATGATGGGGTGAACGAAACAAAGAAATGACTAGTTGTCTATTTTTAATTCACTATGCTATTAGTGAAGCTTTCCTCTCTTGAAATACATATGATCTGGTTGTTTATGTTCCTTAGGAATACTTTGATGCTTAACCACCTTTAAACCATTTTGCCTAGTTAGTATGTCATATGTTGAACTAAACCTTTAAATCTTAACCAGGATTTTGCTTTGAGCAGGGTAATGATCTGGTGGTTTGAACTTTTGTTTATGATTTTATATTGATCCAACCCCATCAAAAAATTAGCTTAATGGCTGATCCACTGATACGTGTTGATGATTTGATGATATGAATTTTTATCTATGATTATGACATTTCATATTAGCGCAAATAGATAATTCGGCAACTTAATTTTTTTCGTATCTCTAAATTTTTCCTTGCCAGTTCTCATGTCTTTCATTTTTTTCGTTGCCAGTGATCCCTTTCAATGCTTTTTATTTGTCATTGATTCAAGTTCAAATGGCTCTAGCTTTTATGGATACATTCCTGCTAGTTTTCTTCTTTCAAGAGGGAGCTGATGCAGCCTTTGCATGACACATCTAAGATCATTTTGCAGAAATAAATCCCATGGGACAAGTTCCTGCAATTGTTGATGGAAGCTTTAAACTATTTGAAAGGTAATTCCTAATTTCCTTTAAATATTTCAAAGAAGTTCCAAGAGAAAGAACAATGTAATCAGATAATTAATTTTTGTTTTGTATACATTATCAGTTGAAGTTTTTAGAATCATCTCCTTAAATTATTTCCAGTACATGGATGGCAATGGCTTTTGCTTGGGATTCAAGTTTTCCATTTGATGTTTAGCATGTTATTTATAATTTACAATTCAGTTTGAAACTTTATGATTTACTCGAAGAAAATTATTGTTTCAGCCCAAACTGTAACACATGAATTTGCCTGATTATCTTCCTAGTTTAGCTCAAACGGTAATCCTTGAACTTCCTGTGGCTTATGGCTTAATGGATTGCTTCTTGATGGCATAATAATTTTTGATTCAATATCTTTTATTTTATGTTCGTTAATAGAATAGATAGAATTGTTCTGCTTTCATCGTTTTTGTTCTCTTTTTTTCCTTACATAGTCTGCCTATTACCTTGGTTATGTGCAAGCATCAAACTGGATCTGCTGTTGGAAAATAATTCTGTTATTTTTGTACTTCTCTTTTGGCTTGAATTTCATAATCAGGCATCTTAAATAACTTTTTTGTTTTACAGTCATGCCATACTGCGACATATTGCTTGCATATTCCCTGGAGTTTCCGATCACTGGTAAATTCTATCTGTTTATTTCTTTATTTTATAACTGTTATGTGCTAATTTAGTACAAAAATGGAAGTAGAATTGATAGTGCTAGAAAGAATGATTCTATTGTTAAGGAGGAGTAAATTATTTACGATAGAGAGATTCACTGGAACTGAAGTATTCGGGGTCACTAATCCACCCATTACTTTTTAGAGAATGAAAATTATAAGCCTTGAGGTTTATAGACCCCCCAGAACATGCCTTTTTATGGCCTCAAGTATGATATTCTTAGTTTTTTAAACAAGTATGATATTCTTAGCGAATTAAATTGTGGTTTGTGGCGGGTATGTGTTTTCCAGGAAGGATAATTAGTAGCTACGGACAACTTTTTCATTGGATACTTTCCAACATGCTTTCTGTGATCTATTGCTAGCTTCAATCCTCTCTTTCCTCAAAAGTAATGCTAATATATCTGGTAATTCTGCTAGATAACTCATCTTATGTCCCTTTTATTGAGAGAGTCACCTTAGAATGGTCACATAAAGCGTCGGCCTTCCGATGATACGGTTAGGAGAGTAGATATATTAGATTTGACCTATATTAAGAAAGGTAGAGGTAGGTATAAAAAGACTTGGTTTTAAATATTAGAAATGATATTTTTCTATTAGATTTAAGTGAGAATTTTACTCTTAATAGGTCGCAATGGACAAAAAAATATTCAGGTAGCTGATCCATGTAGTGAGATAAATGCATGATGTTGTTGTATTTGTTCTTTTTTATTGACAACTAAAGAGGTGGAAGATTCATGTTATGAACCAAAACAAAAAATGCAGTGATGTAGAAAATATTAACAATGTAATATTATTGGATAATTTGAAGATTGCCTAAAACTCCTAATATTGAGAGAGAATTAATAAGATGTCAAAACATCATATAGGCTTTTTTTGGGGTAGGGGGGAATGGGAGAGGGGTGTCAAAGTTCTTTATCTTCTTATATATATATTTTGCTTATCCTAATACTTCAAATGAGTATTATAGACTCATAAAAATTTTTATGACCTATTAAAACACCTAATAACAATCTGTAAGCCTAACTACCTTGTACTCATTTCATTTATTCTCTAACCTTATCCACCTCAATAGAACAATCTTGCCCTCAAGTTCGACCATATTGCAACTAGATACATAGGTAGCTACTATTGTTCGTGCTTGCGAGATCGAGCGGGGCTTGGACGAGTGGATTTGGTGAGCACGATGTTGACAATGTGCAATCTAGCAATGGTGGGATGCGGCGTGGCTTGAGTTGGGTAGATTTGGGTGGAGATAGGCGAATCTCGGTGGAGTTGGTGGAATTTAGGTGCATGTGGGTGAATCTCAACAAAAGTAGACAAATTTGGACTGAGGCAATGAATTCCAGGTTGAATCTTGATGGAGGTAGGTGCAATGACAATTGTGATGGTAGTATCAACTTGGAGAGGCAGTTGTAGGAGTAGATCCATATATGATGATAGAGATGTGGTCATATTTGGTGATGATGAAAATGGGTGGAGTGGACCTGGTTGATATTTGGGCGGGGAGATGTGTGATCTATTGAAAACGGGAATGAAAGAGGGAAGTATAAGTTGTGACAAAATATATGGAGGCATATCTGCAAATGTTTTTTTTTTATTTGGGTGATGCGTGATCTAGCCTGGGGGGAAATTGTGCACTGTAATTGAGGTGGACATGGAGAGGGATTTGATGGGAAGGCACATATTTGATGGGAAGACAACCTAATTTGAGGTGGCGAAACCTTGAGATGGCGATACCCCTCTATTTATTGTTTCAAAGATTTTCTTAGATTGCTTGGATTCACTTTGCAAAGTCTAATCTCAATTTGTGGTTGGGTGATTCATTGACGTGGGATCATTTCTACATATAGTTACAAGATGTTGATTAATTATACTCTCTTCTCGATCTAGTTATTTTTAAGGCTTCTGGAGATTTTGTTGCAGCATCACCTATTATTAGGTCCGTGGCAAGGAAGGCATGATGTGTTTTTGTATTTTCTTGGTTTTTGTTATTGTTTCATGTTATGTTTATTTTCATATTTTTCATTTTATTTTCATGTGTTTGTTCTATTTTCTTGAAAGCTGGGAGAGAGAGAGCTTTTGTATGATTGTTTGGTCATTTTCTATCACCTTACATGAAAAATTATTGCTTTCCATTCTTGCATGGGCCGACCATCACAAAGGTAATTTTCTCCTTTTCATTTTCTTTGGATAGCAAAGGAAGCGGGGGAGCTTCTTTGGAGGTTCATTTGTGCTTGAAACTTCTTGAAGGTAGACTTAGATTCATACATCTTTGGGTTGTATCCATTGGCCATGAACAGGGGGAATGAATATTCCTTGATATGTGTATCCACTTGGAATGCCAAATCATGTTTTATTTAGGGGTGTCAAAAAGGATCAACGGGTTGGGCTTGAGCTGAATCTGACCCATTTAATGAACTAGTAAAATATGCAGACTCGAACCTGACCTACTAATCTGAATAATTGAACCCGAATCGATAACCTGTTTTGATTTAAAAATATAGTTTTTTATATCTTTTTTTAACGGTACCTTTTACATTAATTAATAAAAAATAAGACAATCATACCAAAAAATGAAAAAAAGTAAAAAAAATTAAAGGAGTCATTTCGGGTCAAAATTGGGTTGGCAGGTCAACCCGAATAGGTCCGAAATTCTAGACCTGAACCGTTTAATTTGGGGTCATTTTTTGACACCCTTAGTTTCATGCACTTTTGTGAAGGAAGCTTTATTGGATGCATTTTTAAACTTAGATTTCATCATTTTTTAGGACGTCCAAGGCATGTCCATGTATTCATTTTTTCATCTTCCAAAAAGTGTCTCTTTATCATGATGGCTATTGGACTTATATTATGGTCATGTATTGGAAGTGTTATATACAGTTATGGAATTTAGTAGTATGCAAACATCAACGTTTTTAATATAATTGAGAATGTCTTCTCTACAAACTTAATTTAATGGTTAGTTTGTATTTCACTTTGTTGATGAGGCTGAGTGATGCTCTTTATTGTGGAAGTGTTAGTTATCTTGTTACCCTTAGTGTTACTTTGCCTAAACATTGTCATATTTCTAATCCCTTAGTAACACTTCATTAAATTCTTCTCATTTAATCCTTATTAAGAGTAGCTTTAATGTAAGTCTATTATTACATTCTCGCTAATTGATGCAAGATAACTTAAAAATATGATAAAAAGATGACGCAAATAAAAAGATGAATGATAATCTAGTGAAAAGATTAAGAAACATTAACCATATAAGATGCCCTACACAGGCTACGCCTACACATAAGAAGGTTTTCACACTTGATGAAGATTATAATTCTTAAAAGGAGAAAATTTTGCAATCATAATTCAATATCTAAAGTTTCTTAATTTCAATTGAATCCTTATTCATATAGTTGTTTCTTCAATAACAATATATTGAACTTAATAAAAATTTAATGGTGTCATGATAGTGACATGATAAAAGGGATGACATGACCTCCAAATAATATAAAATTACTCAAATGCCTAAGCAATTGCTAAAATGATTGGCCATGGGAATGGTGATGATGTGTCATCTAAATGATATATACTTACTAAAATATCTAAACAACTTCTAAAATAAATTAACAATAGGGATGGTCACCATGTCAACCAAATTATATAAAATTACTCAAATATCTAAACAATTGCTAAAATGACATTTAAATCTTAATGCATAAATATAAACATAAATAGTAATTAGCGGAGCTATGCATGAGAGTGCCTGACACCATCAGTCATTTCATTTATGTTGCATAGAGAAAAAGCCTATGTTTATGTCCAACACTTATATTTTATTATTGGGTTAAATTTCAAAATAGTCCCTCGACTATTCGTCTATGGTCATTTTAGTTCCACAATATAATGTTGCTCTAATTTAGTCCCTTGACTATATAAAATTGATTCAAAAGTTCCTTTGGGACTAGATTGAGATCAATTTTGTGAAGTTTAGGGATTAAATCGAGATCGATTTTATAGCATAATTATGATATGAGGGACTATATTGGATCAATTTTATATAGTTGAGGGACTAAATTGGGGTACGTGATATTTTGGGACTAAATTGGCCTTGCACAAATAGTTTTGGGACTATTTTGGAATTTTTTTTAGTTTATCATCGTAGTTAGTTAAAAAATTCTCTTAGCAAATATCATCAATGAAATTAAATGATTGACTAATGCTTGATTAATTGTATCCTTGAATTTTATCAATAGACATAATAAAAGCTTCTTGTTTACGTAATTTTCTTTCTACTTAAAATTCTTGTTGATATTTTATAGTAATGAATGCAAAAAAACCTATCATTTATAATTTACTTTTATGTTCTTAGAGCTTATCCTTATTAGAAATCTTTATTTTTTGAATCCTACTTTTTTTTCTCTTTTAAATCAAGGTATCCAGCTGATGTTTTCAATAGAGCCAAAATCAATTCAATTCTGGATTGGCATCATTCAAATTTACGGCGTGGTTCAAGTACTCCTTGATCAAATTCGTACTCTTGTCAATTAAATTAACATGCTTCTTTTTTATTTTACTAAGTATAGTTTGAAAGATTTGAGTAGCTAGTTTTTTTAATTATAGATGAAAGGTTCCTTTGAAATTTCCATTTGAAGGTTAAAAAATTAAGTTGAATTTTTGTTTGCCATGTTATGCTTGTCATATGACTTGATACCATTATCAATTATGCAGAACTAAATCGAACCCTTTAAATTAAATATAAAATTCCATCACCATACTAACAACTTTGAATGCAAAAAAAATGGCATATCTTTCACTTTTATTTTGCACTATTTTGAAGAGGCTTTCTTTGCACTTCTAAGAAACTCATTTCATATTTTTTGAGATCACTATAGTTTGGTTCCCAGAAAACTGAACCTTATTGAGGACAATTTTGATGCAAACCATGAATCTAAAGGTCTCTATAGAAGACTTAATGGAGAGTCAAATTTGGCATTATTTAGCTAAAATGGTTCTTTGGACATGCTAGAATTAGCTCAACCAAATACTATACAAACTCCTTCGGCTCGAACGAAGTTTGTGCATGTTTGAGTCAACTAAGTTGGAGTCCAAACAAACTTTAAGCTTTGCCTAGACTGGACTAAATTGACTTAATTCAGGTTGTTAATCTTCCTTCCATGGTTTTCTAGCTCGTCAAAGAGGGGGTTGTGATGCCACTTCATGCTAGCATCTAGTGGGCGATGTATCGATGATCCTAGTTACAATCTTTGGCAAAGGCATGTTAGCAATCTTAGTTGCCATTGATGCACAAGCATTTGTTCTTCTCTAAATTACCTCAACCACCTTCTTTTTCTTTATCATGCGCAATATATTTTTACATATTCCTTTTAAGATAAGGAAGGATTTCCTATTTCTTCTTGAGTGCGATAGGTCTCTATTATTGCCAACTTTGAGCGAGGAGCACCTTCCATTACAATTTTCCTCATTGATGAAGTGGAAAAAATTACTTGCTATCTAAGGCGTGTGACTCTTCTCTGCTCCTCCGTTTTATAGCACCCACCATTTGTTGGACAGAGGTACCATAGAATGGTTTGTGGAGGCTAATCTTGTAATCTCATAATCTTATGGCGAAAGTTAATTATTTAGGTCAATCCCTATGATTTTCTCCTTTGGATTTTTTCACAAAAATTATATTCTCAGTTGCTTAGTTTACTGCTCGTGTAATTTAGCATTTTGTTAGCTAAAATGATTACAATGTTCCCTTCTGGAGATAAATTTAGGCAGGATACATAGTTGTATATGAAGAAGATTATGATAAGACAAGTTTAAGGTGGAACTTAACTTGAAAATACATAGTAGTAAATCAACACATGTTATTTATCCAGAATTAACAATATGCTGCAAATATATGGCTATGCAGAGTATTCTACTTGGAATAAGACAATGATGCAGGAAAAATGGAAATGCATGGTGTTTTCTGAGGAACGGTTTCAGAGAAATTGTACACAATAACTAATTTTACTGAGAACTATACTTTGCAGACTGTCAAATCTTTTTGCAATCTGGAAACTGCTAGATGTGGTTTTAAGTTCACTGCATTTGGATCTTCTTTAGGCCTTCTCATGCCGGTCTGCAAACGCCTGTAAAGCGTCACTAAAACGCTCCAATGGAACGCTATATTTTTCGCGAATTGGCGGGTTAACAGTGTTGGCATCCCATTGTTCATCCGCTATATAATTTTTTTTATTCACTAAATTGATTATTAGTTTTAAATATTTAAGTGCAGAATTTTATTATGAATAATTAAGAAATAATAATTTAGAAACACATTATTTTTCAGAAATTAAAATATTTTTTATGTAATTAATTTTTTTAAGATATAACATTAACATGGAAGTTATGATAAAATTCTCATACATCAAATATTTTTTTCGTTCATATTTATGTGTAATGTAATTTTCATTTTATTAAATATATATTTGCTTATTTAGGACATATTAATATCCCAAATTTTTTTATCGAATAATATATATATATATATATATATATTAATAGGTTTAAAATGGATAAATATAAATATATGATTAAAAGAATATACTAGGAATATTCTTTTTTTGATGTTAGAAAATGAAGTTTGGTTGGAGACAAGTTACTGTATTTTGGAGTAAAAAATGAGTTTTTCGGTTGGAGATGCCCTTAGCTATTACATTAATTTTATCTCATTTTTTAGGTGCTTCTTTTGGTCACCACTATAAATAGATTCATAATCAATCATGTTAAATCAGAAATATCAATTTTTATAGCCTCGTTAATAGCTTTTCTAGTTTCCTTGTGTTTGTATTTGTTGTGTGAACTTGAATATATCTTAACTCCTGCTTCTTCATGATTTTTTGTTTTATGTACCGATTCACTTCAACTTTCCTGCTTGATTCTTTATTTTAATGCAGCTACCTTTGTTCAAAGCACAATACTAGCACCTGCAGTTGGTCTTCCATTGAATCCTCAAGCTGCCTGTGAAGCTGAGAAAGTTATATTGTCATCTCTCTCAATAATTGAATCCATTTGGCTTAAGGGCAACGCAAGATTCTTATTGGGAAACCCCCAGCCATCAATTGCAGATCTCAGTCTCGTTTGTGAAATTATGCAATTCGAGGTAAAAGAACTCATGCAATAATTGATATTTTTACATTAGTAATTAAATTTTCTTTTTGTTGTTTCACTTAAAAAATGCTTAGATTTTGTCTCCCTGTGGGTTACTATATCAGAAGACATGGCATGAGTAGGTTTTTTGATGGAAAGATCAACCTTAGCTCTTATAATCAATTATAGCCTTAAGTTTAAGCAGCTTTTCCATACCTTTCTGATAATCATCATAAGTCTCTAACATGTTCACCTGCATTTTACTCACCCCCTCATATTAATCTATTTTAGTAGTAAGATTCTCAAAATTGATATTGGAGCCTTAAGCTAATCTTGGCCATCCAGTGACGTCTGATCCCTAATCTTTAAGTCCATAAGGCCAAAGTATGGTTTTAATGTTTGGTAACCATAGTATAACTAAAAAATAAATAATAAATACTGAAGGGTGAAGTACAAGGAAGTGTTCTGCTGTAAGAACTGGATCCCTCATTGAACATGGGGTTCTTGGAAGGTGGGACAGGATTTGATGTTTGCATTTTAGTCGTGTTTTGTCATTTCTAAATGCTTTTTGTTATTTACATTAATGATGATATATAGGGAATTACTTTCTTTGCTTTGTGATCAAAAGCTCATGACTTCTCGGTTGTTAATCTTGTTTCTGTTCTTCTTGATCAGGTTCTTTCTGAAAATGATCGTGAAAGAATTCTGGGACCTTACCCGAAGACATTACAGTGGATTGAGAATGTCAAAAATGAAACAAATCCACATTTTGAGGAAGCCCACAATGTTCTATACAGATTTAAGGCCAAGCAACGTAGCAAGCAGGGTTCCCTTGGTGGACTCCCAGCAAAACTTTGATAAAATGAGCCTTTTTTTTTAATTTCATCAACTTCGGATCAATGTGTTAGGCATTTGTAATGAGTGGTTTAATCATCTTTTGGAGTAATTTAGGTTTCGTTTGGGAAAGCTTTTTTGCTGCTTTCTAAAACTATTTTCAAGAAATTTTTGTACTCGAAATTCATTTTAGAAAGCATCAAAGAAGTTGTCCCAAACGAAACGAAACCTTATTTTATTGACAGTCTATGAGTCTTTAATAGGTAGTTAAATGAGTCATTGGGTGTCTTCTATCTTGATTTATGCTTCCTCTTGGGGAGTATATGACATGAGCATGAATGAAATAAATTAAAATTCCTTTTTGGTAGAATATCCCTTTTCCCCTCATCTACTTTTTCTTAAAGCATGATTCCTTTTTGCAACTGATGTTTTCAAGAAACCTACCAAAGCTAAAATTCTCAAATCATTCTAACCTAGGGGAATTTTCAGTTCAGAGGTTCTCCATTTGTCCTAAATTACCGGTAAGATCATATCATTTGGTATTAGAGCCTGCTCCTTTCCCTTCATGATTTTCTACTCTCTTTCCTCCAACCTAGCAGATTGACTATCTCTCAGCTATCCAACTGCTGCTCCAACAATGGTTCTTCAAGATCCAACTCCTCCTCCTCCTCCTCCTCCTCATTCCTTCCATTGGTTCCATGCTGAACTCGAACATCAGCTCTCCCTGTCCCTATCATAGAGTCTCTAAGAATCAATTCCTCCTCTTCCAGGTCTCAGTCGAGCCCCTCATCTCCCTTCCACTTCTGTCGCCAGTCCTCAGGTGTTGCCTTGGAGTTTCCAAGAACTACATTCTCTCTTCTTCCCTCCATAATTTAGCTGATATTCTGCTTGGGAATTTTCCCTCCTCCCTTTCCTTGCCGCTGTCCACAACAACAGCGAACTGCAAAGTTCAACTAGCAATCCTTCCTGCCCGTTTTTGCTGCAAGAACAGCCATCCAAACCACCAAAAACATCCCACTGTTTCTCGTTCTCCACAAAATTCTTTCCATACTATGTCTACAGCCTTCACCTTTGCCCAAGCCCTCAAGAACAAAACCCTACTATCCTATTCTACATAGAAATCCATCCCAGAGGTTGTCTACAACATTTTTTTCAGTTTGAATTGCAAAAACAACAGTTGTCCATCTATTTAGTGGTTGTTTTCAATCACATTAATCACTAGATTGCAATTGCTATTTTCAAGAAATCTACCCATTCTAAAGTTCTCAAGTAAAACACTCCAACCTAGGGAAAATTTCAGTTCAGAGGTTTTTTGGTTTAAGCCGGGTTCTCCATTTGCCCTAAATTACCAGTAAGATTGTATCACATCCAGTTTAAAATTGTGGGTTGGAAGTTGGAGGAATTTATGTTTCTTGTATCTTAAGATGGTTGGTCGTCTCTTCGTATTTTGGCCCTCTTATTGACTAGGTTCTTCATTTCATTGCAATGTTTGTCTCTTTAGATTTAGCTAGATTGCAGCCTATCATTATTTCAAGTATCTTGTTGGAGATTTTTGTGACTTTTCCTAGACAATGATGAATGTTTTTGAATATCATGCTTGCTCCTCTCATATGCTTGTTCTAGCAATAGGGAAATAGGGACTCCCTTGCAAACCTTAACCCCTTGGACAATCTCTCTGGCAACAAGGGGACTTCATGCTTATATGATAATTTTTTATTGATAAATGTGTTTTTTGAGCATATTGAGTATAGTTTTTTAATGAGTCTTAGTCTTTTCTTGATGTTCTATTTTGCCTATTGTAACCCGATGTTTTATTTGAGTATTGCTCTTTTTTATAGCTCATTATAATACCTATTTTTCCAAGTTATTTTTTCATGTATCATTGTCATTATAATTATACCTTTTAGTTAATGAAATTGAGCTTCGCCCCTATTTCTCTCTCTCTCTCTCTCTCTCTAAAAAAGCCAAATAATTTTTCAAGCAACATGTTCTTGATATCATGCATCACATGTTATCCTTGAAAACAATTGAATTATAATATAATATAATAAAATTATTAGCATACATAATTTATTTTTATCCAATAATTCATTTATATTATTTGATAATCTTGGTTTTATTTGGGATAGTTTTAGGGGTGTCAAAATCGGGTCATGGGTCGGGTTCGTGTCAAACCCGGGTTCAAACGGGTCGACACTAACCTGACTTGGGCAGGTAAACGGGTCAGAACCAACCGGACCGACCCAGCAGGTTGCCTGGTTGACCCGACCTGACACGGGAAGCGAGAGTGCGCAGCGGACGTTGTTGACTGCGAGCGGGACTCTGGTGCGTGCTGAGCGGGTAGATGGGTAGGAGAGCGCGCGCTGGCGGTCTCACACTGAGCGCAGTGGGCAGACGAGAGCGATCGCGGGTGGCTTCGAGGGCGCACAGGCGGCCTTGGCTTGCGACCGGCGGCGGGCAGCTGGAGTTTGTCGCGTGGGCAGCTGGGCGTGCAGGCGGCGGGCCAGCCAGGGCAGGAGCGCGGGAAGCTGGCAGAATGCAGGCAACGCATTTTAAAAGTGTTTCTAGGTTGACTGACAACCCTGACGTCAACCCGAATCCGACCCGTTTTTCAAAGGGGCCGAATCCGTGAACCCGAACTCAACCATTTTTTGAAATCGGGTCGGGTTAAACCTGAAAATTCCGTGTCGGGTTCGGGTCAAGTTTTCGTGTTGTGTCAAATATTGACACCTTAATGTTTTTTAAAATTATCGTGAAAAATCTTTTTTATTAAAATTATTATAGAAAACAATTTTCTAGCACATCTTTTCGTAAGCAGTAAAAAAATAATGTCTAAATAGAAATTTCTGATGTTGTATAAAAAGCAAAGCAGTTTAGAAGCTATCTCAAACTAAGGTTTCATTCCAGATAATTTTCTTATTATTTGTTTTTTCAAATCTCAATCTCAATTTTTATTTGACCTCTTCCTTTTCAATATTTTTTAATAATTTTTTGGTGGAAAATGTTATTTTTACTATTACTTTCAAAAAGTTACTTTCCCAGAGTAATTTTATAACCGACTTTACAAAAAGCAACAATAATCCCAAATAGATTTTAAACCAGAGTTGTATTGAGGAGAAAAGATTTAAATATCTATAATAATTATTTAATGCATTAAATGAATATACAAAAGGTTATTTTAGGGGTCAAATATTTGACACGACCTGAAAACCCGACTCGAATCCAACACAAAAATTTTTGGGTTCGGGTCAACCGAACCCGAATCGGGTCGGGTTCAGGTAAAGGTTTTTGAACCATTTGAAAAAACGGGTCGGGTCCGGGTTGACCGAAACCGACCAACCCGGACTGACCCGAAAATCACGTCTGAGTCAGCTCAGTAGTCTACGTCAATCGTCATCTCGCATCGCTAAGCTCAACCTCCGCGTGGACCGCGTCTCGTATCGTCAAATCGCGTTAGCTGCATCGCGTCATCTTCGCGGCCGGACGTCGCGTCGATCGACCAATTTGTCGGACGTGTTGAACACCGTGTCCCGCTGCTCAGCATCCCCGCGACCCCTCTCCCTCCTTTGAGGCGTCGAAGAACGTTCTAGTCCAGTCGACGAGACGAGCTCGATGTCATCTGCCCTCTCCTCCGTTGAATGGAGGCTCCCATTTAAGCACGCATGTTTGGTTTAACCGAACTCTTTGCGGCTTCAACGGAGTTCCTCCCGTTTCGTGTCGTGTCGGGTCAACCCGGAAACCCGACGGGTCGGGTTTCAGGTTGAATGTTTTTGACCCGTTTATAAAAACGGGTCGTGTTCGAGTTGACCCCGAATTAGCACGGGTCAATATCAAGTTCGACCCGAATCCGACCCGTGACCCAAAATTGACACCCTTAGTTATTCTTATTTTAATTTTATTATAAAATTAATATCCATTATTCTCATAATTTTCTATTTCTTAATTGAGCAATTCACAAAGCCGGCCAACACACATAGACCCCACCACTGAACCGGCCAAAACGAACCACTGTCCAATCCCCCGCCAAAGCCCAGTACAAACCGGCCGGCGTGGGCCCCACCATTAGACTGGACCCCACCCCAGTTAATAAACAAATTGGATGAGGAATTATAAATATAATTTATATAGATTTAATACAACTATTTATTTGAAATTTATTGTAATTAAAATAGATAGTTTTACATAAATTAGAATTTCAATAAAAATTGAAAAATAAGTTTATTTTATATTACAAAAGAGAGAGATATGAGCATATTGAGTCTATTTTTATTGATTTCTTAGTGCTTAACTTTGTGGTGACGGCTTTCCTTTTTGCTTTTCTTTATGAATTAGGTGTAAGGTTTTTTAGTTAAATTTTTTTATTTTAGTACTTAAAACTCAATCTTATATATATATTAGATTATTTAATATATAGGGAATAAAATAAGTTCAAAGATCATCTCAATTGTAAACAACGAAGCTTAGTCTCTTTTCTTGCTGTTTCTAGTATTTGGTTGCTATTCGTTGTAACACTTCGAACGTCTTTTTTAAGTATTGCTTTTTTATTAGTATTATAATATTATTTTCCAAATTGTTTTTTTCATTTATCATTGTATTATTTATACATTTTTTTAGTTAAATGAATTGGAGCTTCGCCCTAATTTTTCTCTCTTCTCTCTCCCAGCCAACCAAAAAAAAAGCTAAACAATTTTTTCAAGCAGCCAATGTTTTGATTTTCATGCTCACATGTTTCCTTTCAAAAACATTAAATTATGATATAATTAATATAATTTTACATTAACATAATTTATTTTATCAATAATTCATTATATATATTTGATAATCTGGTTTTATTTGGGATAGTTTTAGGGGTGTCCAAATCGGGTATGGGGTCGGGTTTGTTGTCAAACCGGGTTCAACGGGTCGACACTAACTGACTTGGGCAGGTAACGGGTTTCAGAAATCCCAAACCGGGACGACCAGCAGTTGCCTGTTGACCTGACTGACACGGGAAGCGAGAGTGCGCGCGGACGTTGTTTGACGCGAGCGGGACTCTGGTGCGTGCCTCGAGCGGGTAGATGGGTAGGAGAGCGGCGCGCTGGCGTCTCAACTGAGCGCAGTGGGCAGACGAGAGCGATCGCGGGTTGGCTTCGGAGGCGCACAGGCGGCCTTGGCTCTGCGGAGCGGCGGCGGGCGCTGGAGTTTGTCGCGTGGGCAGCTGGGCGTGCAGGGCGGCGGAGCCAGCCAGGCAGGAGCGCGGGAAGCTGGGAGATGCAGGCACGCATTTTAAAAGTGTTTCTAGGTTGACTGACAACCCGTCGAGTCAACACCGATCCGACCCGTTTTTTCAAGGGGGCCGAATCGTGAACCGAACTCAACCAATTTTGAAAT